GGTGCTAGCTAACAATTATTGGAAAAAACGATTAATTTCCGGAGTAACTAGCAGTCCAAATTTCGGAGTAAATTATATTTTCCAGATAATCCATCTCTGCCCAAAACGGTAAGTACGATATTAAATTATTATTGAAGTAAATCAAGTAAACATCACTGACAAATTTGTGAAGATATTTTTAATAACTGTTAATTCGTTCAAGCACAAATAATCAGCAGTCGGAGGCTTTGAAATCAGCTCGTCAAAAATTCCAGTCAGTGGAATCTGAGGCATCGAAGAGCTCAGAGTTATTAAAAGGGAAGCTGGAGGGATACTACTGAAAAGTCGCTGAGTCGGTTAACGACAGATACCCCAGCGTTGCGTGTGGTGCCCTCCCTCTTATGGGGTCGGCTACTACGATGCCGCTGGGGTCACTCAAACCCCCAGAACTGAGCCTCTACTTTGGCCAATCCTCTTTGGATAGAGGACTAGAGAATTAGAAAAACCTGTATACATAAATATTAACCGCAATTTTTCGTGCAATTCTGTGAGAACCAATAAAACATCGATGTCCCACTAGAAAATGGCGTCTACTGAACCAATAGAATGGCAGATCCACAAGAAGATTTCATACGGAAGTGGGAAAATAGTTGGGCAATCATGGGCCACAGAAGAATGACGAGGGGTGCCGAGGGGCTAAAGAATCAAGATGGCATCCGAGGAGAATACTATCACCGTGTCAAACGCGGACTACAATGTCAATAGTGAGTTGAACAGTCACCCCGATTTCCTCGCAATCAACAATCCCATCTACAATATCCCAACAAGTGCATCTAAACAACTGACAGATCCTCAAATTTCACCTGACGACAACAATCCTTTCAAAAGTGTTGGTATAAAGACGCCCAGCGGGACGCCCACGATTTTACCACCAGCGTCACCGAGAAACAGTGTTTTAACCGAAACATCAGTGTCAAGTGATGATAAAAATGTCAATGACACCCTTGTCAATAATAAAATAATCAATATCATGGAATCGTGCGATGTCAGTGAGTGTCTGCAAACTGGTCTTTCAGAATCATGCGACATGCCTGGAGGTGCCTGCAACAACGCGGAAATGTCCCCTTGTCTTCCCCAACAGGGTAACTTGGCAATTTTTTCATTATTCTTTGTGGTTTATTTTCAATTGGCAATCACCACCCGCATTAATGCCTAAAAAATAATAATAAAACTGGATAGTCATTATCTTTGGATAATAACCCTCGTGATTCCTTAATAAAATATTCTTTCCAGACAATCGTGACAAATCACCAGTGCATCATCTCCCCGATGTCTTCAGCACTCATCAGAACGTAAGAACCCATCACTGATAATCGATTGAATAATAACATAATGAAATAACCGACGATGGAAAAGTGATCTATTAATGTCTAATGCGATTTATCTGTTTTTCAGGCTAACACTATAACATTTGGCAGCGATCCAAGCCTCGACAGCAACATAGTACCGGTTAAGTTGGACGAGTGCGGCAATGTGTCGAGTAAAACGCCACAATTGGGTGAGAGCCCACAAACAAGCAATGACATTATAACGAGTCCACGAAGCCCAGATTATCCACCTCGAGTGTCAACGGATCACACCTCGAGTCCCCCATTTCTATCAAACGTTGATATTTCCATGGACACTGCTAAGTACAATACAACGGAGACGATAAAAGTTGAGCCTGAGGTCCAAATAAAGCACGAGGACGACGAAAAGATGGTGAAGGGGATGATAAAGCTGGAGATTCCAGACAGGCCTGAAGATGTTCATCCTTCGACCCCAGCATTGCCAGATACAAAGGTAAAACCTCCTCAGGAACTCTCGAGGAATCATTCGTCATCCTCTTCGACTACATCAAACTCATCTACAATAACTACTGAAAAACCCAGCAGAGATCACAGTGACAGACACCGTTGCTCTCGTTGCTATAAACGAAGTAAAATAAAAAGGGCAAGCATAGGGGTGCAGTGCAGACGAGACAAGAGTAGCAGTCACTCTCTAAAATCCTCTCTGAAGGACCACAAATTTCCAACTCCCCTGACAGCAGCTGACGAGAATCTCCGGATAAACTTGCAGACTAAAACCAGCAAGACACTCAACAAATCCATCAGTAAGTCAGATCAACTGGCAGGATTGAAGTACAGGAGATTCATCCACATCGAGACCTATCCGAATGGTGGAGCAACAGTTGTTCACATGTACCAGGATGAAATAGACATTCTCCCGAAGGAGGAGATTGACGAGCTGGCGCACGAGTTCTTCAAAGTCGTTTTTGGAGAGGATGAGAATGGAAATGCTTACAATGTCATGGGAATTGTCCACAACGCAGCTGCATATTTGCCAGATCTGCTGGACCACATGGCGAGTCATTATCCAACTTTGACTGTGAAAAATGGGGTCCTGGGGAGGAACAGTGACATCGAGACGACGACGATGCTGCAGTACAAAGAGCAAGTCTATAAAGCTTACAACAATGGAACAGTGAGGTACGGACCACTTCACCAGATAAGCTTAGTGGGAACAGTTCACGAGGAGGTTGGAGGCTATTTTCCAGACCTTCTCCAGCGCCTAGAGGAGGATCCCTTTCTGAAGCTAACGATGCCCTGGGGACCGCTGTCAGTGGTGCAGATGGAGACACCCCAGGAGTCCAATGATGGCCCAATCCTTTGGATTCGACCTGGTGAGCAGCTGGTGCCCACTGCAGACATGAACAAGAGCCCTTGCAAACGTCGTAGAACTGGCATCAATGAGTTGAGAAATTTACAGTATCTTCCACGTCTATCTGAAGCTCGAGAGTACATGTTTGAAGACCGCACGCGTGCCCATGCCGACCACGTGGGTCACGGTCTCGACAGGATGACAACAGCCGCTGTGGGAGTGCTCAAGGCCATCCATGGAGGACAGCCTTACGAATTCAACAGGATAACAAAGGACGTTGTGGCATTTTATGCTGGGGATTTTCCTGATCTCGTGGAAAAGCTACAGCTAGATCTCCACGAGCCACCGATATCCCAGTGTGTCCAGTGGATTGAGGACGCCAAATTGAATCAACTGAGAAGGCAGGGGATTCGATATGCAAAGATCAATCTCTACGACAATGATATTTATTTTCTCCCCAGAAATATTATTCACCAGTTTCGCACGATATCTGCAGTGTCTTCTGTTGCCTGGCATGTTAGACTCAAACAGTACTACCCTGATCCCGTGGTACATGGTAGCATCAGGCACAATCGATCGATACCAGAGAATTCGATAAAATTCAAGGAATTGAAGGACGAGCAGAAGGAGAACGCTGACAGGCAGCATATGGCTGAGAAAAAGGCCAAGGAGAGAGCTGCTGAGTATCAGGGGAATCTCAAGAAATCTGATCCTCAGCATGCCAGGAAGAGAAGTAAGGAGGAGCACAAGAGCAGGGATCATGTCAGGGGTGATATCAAAAGAAAGGAGTCGAGAGATGAGGATGTCAGTCTCAAAGAGACCAAGAGAAATGAGGAGAGGAGACGATCTGATGGTAAAAACCATCATGACAAGCACAGGAAGTCAGAGAGACGCTCGTCGACATCCAGTCGATCTGACAAGAAAAAACACGGGGAGAGGAGGCACAGCTCGTCCGGGGTTAAGGAGGAGGAGAAGCCAGGAGATGCCGATAAACTTCCTCAAGTACGGCAGGAGCAGTCTGAACCTCCAGCAGAGCCTGTTATCATCATCACTCTTGATAAAGATCTTGTGGAAGTCAGGCAATCTGTTGGGAAAATTTATGCTACTGAAGTTGTTGATAAAGCACTTGAAATAGCAATTTATAAATCAAAAACTGATGTTGATGAGGTCTGTCAGTCCCTCAGAGTGGGGGTGTCTGAGGCCTCGAAGGAGGTCCTCGAGAAGATTAAGCGAGAGTGTCATGAATTGGCTGCTAAGAATTTTGAGGATTCCAGGAGGCGTGAGCATTATTTTAAATTACTGGAAAATGAAACTGTGATGGCTTTCATGTCTGAGATGGAGTTAGCCACTGAAAATGCTGTTAAAGCCCTTGTGGAAATGGCTGAGGAGGAAGTAAGGGAACGAGCGAAGTGCGAAATGCAGGAGGATTCGTCGGGGAAAGCTCCACCTCTTCCGCTCTTGTCACCACCACCGCCGCCTCCTCCACCACCGCCTCCAACCACTCCACCGCCAGAGCCAGAATCACCAGAATCCTCTCCATGGACAGAAAACACTAATTTCGTTTTCACAATGAGTGAAAGTCTTGAAAAACATTCAGCCTCTGCTGCAGATATCGAGGAGAATGTCGCAGGTAATGACGAGCAAAATCTGGAGAGAAAGGAGGAGAGGATATCGCCTTCGGAGATTTCTAAAGAAATCAGAGAGAAGAAGGACTGGGAGGAGAGGCACAAAGAGAGAAGGAATCGTGATAGGAGGGATCGAGATCACAAGAGGTCGAGTCACAAGGAAAATTCAAAGTCCCATCGGTCGAGTAAATCAACGTCTGGGCACTCGAGTAAGGGAGATCGAAGGTCCGGTAATCACAAGGAATCCTCCTCGAGGAGTCACAGCAAGGACAGACCCAAGAGCACTGGCTCCTCGTCTCATCGACGAAGTGATGAGGGCAAATCACATCACAGCAGATCTTCCAGCAGCTCTTCCTCTGGACACAAGAGAAAATCATCAACCTCCGTTGGTCAAGCACACAAGGACGATGCCAAGAGATCCTGCACTGATAGGCTTGGAGATGACACTGGAGCAACGTGAATTGGTTCGATCATTCGTTTTATTCTGTTGTATTAAAATTCATTAATTCAGTCGTGAATTTTTGGAGAAAAGTGTTTTCCGGGGAAAACACGTGATTGATCTTTCTTTTTTACTTTGTGAAAATTTATGGTTTATTATTATTATTTCATTGTGCATTGTAAATATTTTACACGCGAGTCATTGATTATGATTTTTCCGGTGGATGTAGAGTCCAGTTAAATTATTTGTAGTCATAGTTTATTGCTTGGGATTAATACGTGAGGTGCATTCAATTTTTTCAATTATATGGTGTTGGTAGTCAAGAGGTAAAATAGTTTAATGGGAGACTGCCGTGATATTTTTAAATCATCGAGTGTTGTAGAAAACACTATTGCAGTTTATAATATTAATTTATGAAAAAAGTATGTTGAAATTTCTTGCGGGTTGCAAAGAATCTAGACGATTCAACGGGTGAAATTCATTCAAGTGCCTCGATTTTCAGTAGATTAAATTGAATATTGAGTTAATCTCCATTTAAATGTACGCAAACAAAACCAATGATCTTTTTTTTGTGTACAAATTAATCCAAAGGGAATTTTATAAATATGTAAATTGGTTACGAGAAAAACACATACTATTCCGCTAATCTAAATGCCTGCACAAAATCAATTGGAAGAAGGGAATCCTTGATGTTCGTTGCGTATAATTCAATGATTTTTTTCGCTCAATTTTGAACTAAATCAATTGAAATAGAGGCTATTCGATTTTTTCGTAGATTTTAATTCTTCATGAAGCGTAAAGTCTCCCCTTAAAATCATGCATTATAAAATATTAAACTTTTTTACTTCTTTGGTACTGACATTTCCATAATTTCGAATTGCCCTCTGATAATTTTTCTTTCCATTATGATCCCTGATTATGCTTTATTCAATGACTTTTGTTGCTTTGACAATTAAAGCTTTCTCCCGGTGATTATAGTGGCAGTATCAAAATAACACGTTTGAGTGATGAATGAGTGATGAATGAATGAAGGGACGAGATGTGAAAAAGATTTTTATTTCTATTTTCGTATGAAGAAGTGTGGGATCGAGGTAATTGTGGAGGAATTATTTTTCAGTGCATCACGGGACCAAGGCTATGTCCCTTTGGTAATATTTATATGAAATATAATTTATTAATATATGGTTTTTATTTATAACTTAGGAGGCTCCAGGTACAATTGTCTTGATCCCACTCATTACCGATGATCAATCGTATTTTTCACGAATTATTGTGCTTTGATGGGTTTTTCCTCTTTCAATTTGAAAATTAGGACCAGTGGGAGCAGATAAACCGGTCTTTTGCATTTTTTGACTGATAAAATTATGAAAAATTACGATAATACCAGGGGGATTACATATGTACCGTAGTGAACAGCAAAAGAAGATAATTTTCAGTGTCAATGATAATAATTCATATTGCATTGTAATGAATGATCTATGAGGGACTTTTAAAGATGATTTCATAGATATTCATTGGTGGTGACGATTTTATAGATTTAAACGAGAGGTGCACAGAGCAGAAGATTACAAGTTGATGTAGATAGTTTATATAAGAAAAACGAGAGGAAATAATCAGTAAAAGTCCAGAATTACTCCAGATGTGGAAGTACTCTGGAATATTCTAGTATTGGAGAGGAATAATTGGAGCAAAATGATATTTGGTCTGTATATTTTGTAAATAATTCAATTTTATCAAAAGTAGAGCGAGATTATTGAGATACTATATGGAAAATCAATGAATATCGGTAAATAGAGAGATATGAGATGCGTAATATTTGTGTCTGGTGAGTTGTCTGGCGTTTTCCAATTTATTTTATTTTTCTTCCTATGGGATCAGTGGGGAAGTGATCAAATGGTCGAATTCAATTATTCATTAATTAAATTCAGGATAAAATTTGTTTTTTTTTCCGAAAATGTCACTCCAAAAATTCACTGATATTATAATTTTTCTCCAATGCCGCACGCTTCAGTGATTTTTCCAAAGATAATCTCTCAAATATTTCATTTGACTTTTATTGACCCATTTTGCCCCTTCCAAGCTGACCTTACAATCCATTAATTATCCCCACACATTAATATTTAATTACCGTTTAATTGCGTTGATACACTCTTCAAAAGAAAAATACAAAAATAGTTATGTATGGAGATACTGTAAGTAGTTTTACATATAAAAGAATCTATATAAATATATATATATAAATATATATATTGTATCTGTCACACCGTGTAGATGATTCGCATTCCAGCATCTAGGTTTTTAATGAAAAATTTAAAGAAAGAAATACATTAATTTTATCAAACATTCTCGTTCCGTCTATTTATTTTCATATGTCCCACCGTTTTATTTCCTTTGCATTCAGTCATCTCTATTGGTTCAACTCAAATACGGTACCCCGCCATCATGAACATTCACAATGAGAACGCATCCTTCGGCTCACCCCCCATGATACTTTTTACAACCACCATGACACCTTACAATCATGGCAGTGAGTGATTGAACGCTACGATGTAAACTCACAATTTTCCCTCCAAAAAAGACAAAACAATTTTATTCGTAATTAGTTCGCTTTCATCTCATTTCCAGAAGTGCCTGATTCAATTTAATAGCCTATTTTTTATAAACGTAAGTCACCAATTTTCAAATGTTTTGCATTAAACGTTGACTCTTGCTAGAGGTTATAAATTCAAATTCTTACAGTTGGAGTAAATACAACAACAATTGAAATCATCAAAAATGAATCGAAATGCATCAGCGCAGGTTAAACAATGGGTAGCTGACATACAGATGAATGAATTCGCAAAAGTTCAAGGAGAAATAGATAATTATGAATTTGAGAATGAATCCAGCAAGGCCAAATACCTCCTAAGGCTTCTGATTTACCTCTGTCAAACAGTCACGAAAGTGTCTTTGAAAAATCGCCAATGTGGTTACGAGATATCAAATTTATCAGAATACATCTGCAAGAGTCTCTGCTCGATTCCCAACACCTCCAATTATTTCTCCAGCCTGTACCACATAATCAGAGTCCTGCTAGAGATTGGACTATACGGAGAAGCGATGACAATCTGCAATTACCTCTTACCTCCATCAACCTGGCACCAGAAGATGCTAGACGAAGGTGGGAATTTGAACGAGCACTATACAAAACTCTGGTCAATGCTCTACGTTTCAATCGACAAGCTAATGAGATCGATGAAACCAGGATCCCTCACGCCCACTATCTTCCACGAAATCCTCGAAATAATTGAGTACCAATTGAACATAGAACAGCTCGCTAAATCCGATGGCTCCAAATCCCTTCTGCTCAAACTCCTTCTCTACTCAGACTTCTTGGAGCATCTGAAGTGCTCAAGAGAACACTTCGATGAATTCACTGACAAGTTTTTTCTGAAGTACCTGAGTAAAACAAAGCTGCATCTGGGGGATCGCAACAGGTCCGCAACATACGAGAACTTCACGAAAATAATCTCAAAGCTCTCCGTATACTACATAAAGAAGAACAAATTGGAAACACTGCGGAAAATCCTGAAGAAAATCCTAAAGAACTTTGAAATGTGCACGTTGGAGAGTCGTGAGGCATCCAAGTGCCACCAACTCCTGGCAGATTTCTCCAACATTTTTATTATACCTCTCACAAATCTCTCCACCATCGATATCGAGGAGATAAACGATCTGATCCAGAGAATTCAAGGCATGATTCTCAGCTATGGTGAGGAGAGCCTGATAAAATCAAATATCTATGCTATCTCCTCAATTCTGGAGACACTGTGTATGCTCTGGGGGGAGCTTGGCCAGAACAGCTCGGACCAGCCACCACGAGAGGTAATTCTGAGCACCACAGACCTCTTAAATTATCTCTCAGAGATCATCAGGACCTATCAGGTGCACTCTCTCTGCAAATGTGGAACCAAGACCTGTTTAGTCCTCCAAGATCAAGCAACCTCATCCCAAGTGAAATCTAGAATTCTCTCTGTGCTCTGTCGACTCTGTCCAAAGTCACAATTACCTCCAGGTTTCTTCGAGCAATTTTCAATCATTTCCACCCAGTGTGTCGACCTTCTCTATGATCTTCAGAGGAAAAACTGCGAAGGGTGGAAGAGCAATTGGCTGAGCACTGCAGTGTCCATCTACAATTTCGCCTTGAACTTCTCATCGTGTCATTACGAAAAAAGTGCTGAGCTTTACAAATTCCTAGCCAGCAGCATCATCAAGTTGAAAGCCACGGACGAGGATAAGAAATTCTGTCTATCGATTTCAACGCCACCACTGTCCTTAGCCCTTCACAGACTCAGTAATCTTTATTATGGCAATCGGCAGTACGAGGAGGCCAGAATTTACGCTGCTCTCAACGTGTACTTTCATCCGACTCATCCAGACTGCCAGGGTTATCGGAACTGGTCCTTCATTCACTACCAGAATTCATCCTATCGGCATCTGACTCTAGTGAATTTTCTACGGGAGCACCCAGACGACCTAAGAGTTCTTGGTCTAGGAAAGATAGAGCTGAAAAATCAAGTGCTGCAGGACATCTGCATCAGGGAGATAAAATCCCACATTGCGATGAAGCTCGATCTCTCTGAGGCCATTCTCGCTGTCTTCGATTGCCTTGAGACACTCAATGCTGATGAAATTACTTATGCAACAGCTGTGCATCAGATTAGTTATCACTCCCTCAACTTCCAATCAAAAACCCCTTCGTCCGATCACCTAAAGACAGCCATGGGGAAGTTGAAGTCCTTGAAGCACGATAAATCTAATATTCATTACATCCAATATCTCATGGCACATTTCGCTCTTTACGAAGTTCTTGAGGAGATTCGATCCATTGAAGAAGCCACGAAAGTCGAAATGAAGGTCGCTAATATCAAGCTCTATGCAGCATCTAATAATGGTGTCAGCACTAAAGAATCCAACGTTGTGCCAACCTTCAGTCAAATAAACATAAAGACTGCAAAATCAATTGCATCACAATTAGAAAGCATCTACAATTTGTGGAACAAGTCATTAACTCCAGAATTAATAACTAAATGGGATTCGATCGGTGGAACATCAACAGTGAAGGCTATCATCGTAGCTGGGGAATACTCGCGATTCTACCGCTACAGAAAACTGGAGATTAAATTCTGGAAGATGGGGTACCATTGTGCTGTTAAAACCGACAGTCACGAGTCGATTGTGTACATCACAGCTCGCAGCATCTCATCTCGATACATCAACGACGACTGGATTGAAAATTCCCAAGAGATAATAGCAAGCAAGCTGATTAATTCGAAGGAGCCAAAGGTGCCAGCCATCATTGCCATGTTCAAACTGAGTTTATCAGATTATTATTACTACATTGGAAATACGAAAAAGGCTGATCAGCTCTACGAGGAGGGAATGAGAGCAGCACCACTGAATATCAGTGAAAACTGTGGAACATTTATTTTCAGTCAGCAAATTGTTCTCACCCATCAATTCCACAACTTTCCACCGGAGAGAAAGAATAATCTCGAGTACACTGGAATCTTTGGGCATATTCTCTACGCAATGCTTCTCATCGACGACACAGCTGCCGAACTCAAGGACCTCGTGTGGAGTCTCTACGAGATGGATATGGTTTTTGAAGTGTCCTGCAATATTGCCAACAGAATGAATGCTCTGTTCTCATACCGAGAAGTCACAGCTCACCTGGTAAGACGTCTCAAAGTTTGCCAGCCCAAAATATCAGTTCTCAGAGTGGCTGAAATTTTAAAATACCTCTGCATAATCGATTTATCGAGGAATCAACTGGAGGATTGTGAAGTCAAGCTCCAGGGAATGGAGCATATCCTGCAGATGGAAACATTTTCTGGATTTATGGAGAGGGAAGTGATGAAGATCCCTGATTCGTCTTCATTTTTAAATGCTTTCCCTGATCGAGCATTGATGGATCCCATCAGGGACATTCCTCAGAACGACTCATCTCCAATTCTCAGACGAGAGCGATTCGCACTTCCCGATTTTATGAGTCACGGGCAGAAGTGCAAGTGTTTCACGTGTGTCGATGATGCTTACAAATTCCTCGTTTTCTCTTGCACTCACATCAGGGCTCAGCTCTACACTCTCCAGAATCTAAGGCATTACGCCAGGCAGCATTTCGAGGGAGCACTGAATATCAGTGAAAAATTACTGGATCTATCCAGGAAGGAGGATAATTACCAATATTATTACATCATAGATTACGTCCTCTTCTTGCTGGATTTTATAAGATTTTTAAAAAAAGACAACAGCACGTACGAGGAGGGGAGAAAATTCGTATGCTGGGCACTTGAGATCTGTGATATTTACAAGCTCGAGTGTCACCCTGTGTACATGAGTGCAATGGAAATCGTCTTTGAATACAGATTCGAGAAAGTCTTCCCTGAGGAATTACCCACGTCTAGTCTAGTCATTCCAAAAGTGGATGACATCGATGTTCATGAGTTTACAGATCATCAGGAAATACCAGAAGCCTTCTGTGTCACACCAATCAAGGAAAGTGGAAACAGCCCCAGGCCTGACTCCAGGAGTCCTCGTAGGAAGAACAAAGCTCCAATTTTATCTCTGAGTGAGGCCAATGTTGGCACTGTTGAGAGTGATCCTGAAGAGCTCAGTCCACCGCTCGTAGTACCTGATAAAAGAAAAAAACGAGTGGTGACAAGGGTGAAACCAGTGAGGAGGAAACTGGCAGAGAATGATTTTGAACAGGATGATGATGTTGTAAAGATTTCAACAAGGAAGTCATCTCCAGTACCTAAATGTGACGATCTTGGTGTCAAGTTTACAACACTCATCAATAAAGCTATTAGGGTGGCTTCAGATCTGTCTCGCAAGCTCCATGTCCTCAGTAGGAAGGCAGAGGGCCCAATTACTGATGATCTCCTTCAAAAGCTTGTGGATATTCTGGAGGAGGGGTTAACGAGGTACGAGAAACAGAGGAAGAATGAGGTGGAAGGGGCTTCGGGGGGGAGTCGAAAGGCACTACGGGGTACGGAAATATTTTATTTAGATGTTGGAGAGGTACAGGGAATCATAGAGACTGCCAAGTCGATGATGTCGATTGGGGACTTGTCGTCGACTGCTGCAGGACCTGGAGAACTTTCAAAATCACGTCCCAGTGGTCCTACTGAAAAATCCTCGAGAAAAGGAACTGATCCCAGTGTCGCAGCACTTGCAAAAGGCATTGGGAAATTATCTGTGAGATCTTCTGTTTCGCAGGTTGATGCTGTGTCCAAAAGAGTTAGAAAACTGTCTGTTAGATCCTCTGGTTCGAAAGTTGAACCTGCTAATGGGGTTGACAGGCTCTCTGTGAAGAACTCTCGGCGTAGGACTCCGGGAATTAGAATAAATGATGAGGAGGGTGTAGGGAGTGATGATGAGGTTGTAGAACCAAGTATTATCGAGCCTAGACGTTCACGCAGGCTTGTTGGAATGAGTTCTACCACTGAAACCAAATTGTCTCGAAAGAGATTGTAATTAAGTATTTAGTATTTATAGAGTGATTGAGATTTTTTTTTAAAGAATGTAGTACATATTTTTTATACTTTTATACTGCACTTTTGGGTTGATGTTCACAGAACAATTCAGAAGGTGATGGTTTATAGTCAATTGTCAGAACAGAATATTTTCTGGAATACATCCGTTGTACGTACTTCTTCGGAGAGTCCCTTTTGTAATAACTTTGGAGAAATTGAAGTATATGCTTTTGATTTTAACGATTGTTCGAAGTTCAGTGTGAATGATCTAATTAATTAAAAAGAAAAATAGAAAGAAATGGAAGAATTTCAGGAATTTTTCGGTTTTAGATTAATTGAATGAATTTTGTATAAATTAATATCGATTATAATCGAATAATAATTGTTGCTGAAGATTTATGGAATTCAAATATTTTCTGAAATAAAAGCTTTTTATGATGTAATATAAAAATGTGAAGTCAATTGAGCCAAATGTAGAATATTTCGCCAACTGTAGGAATTCTCAAATAATCGTGCGATTTGGGGTAAATAAATAACAAGACATTGAATATTAACTTTCAATTGAAAAATATTTATTAAAATATATCTTTATGTATACTTTATATACATTTTGATGAGACAGAATGAAGAAACGGCAATTACTCCAGGATGAATAATCAAACATCCTTACATGAAACATAATATTATTTAAACACATGGCATAAATATTGATTCTTTCTCAACATTCTTGTCCTTAAACATATCGTTACTATTATCACACAGTTTTCTCATCTGGAACAATTGAGTTTGACAATTGTATTTCGCATATACCACTGAAAGTATCGGGCAATCTGTGTCACAATTGAAAGTACATTATACTCTTGTTTCGTTATCTCTACGTCCTCCAGTACAAATTTAAGATTGAGATGATCTTGACGTTTTTCAAACAATAAAAAATGGTGGTGAAACGGGAATAATGTCAAACAGCTGATTATCAATTCGATTTCTAGAGGATTGAATCAGCAACGAATTCAGTAGTGGATTCATGGAGCATAACATAAGGCAAATTTTTTTAACAATTTGTTCTGCGATGTAAGTCAAGAGACCTCTTCTGTTGGTAATTTATTCAGCTACAGAGGAACTCCCTCGACACTTGCAGATATTTTTCATTAAAAGGACTCATCCTCGAATTAATCAAATGCCCAAATATCTAATGATAATCATTTTTCTATTACCACCACCAAAATCATCGACCTGTCTGCGGAAGAAATTGGGCCAAAATGGAATGTTGAAATATTTCTTTCTGATGATAAGCACAGCTTACCCTCGATGTAACTCGAAATCAATTACTAGGACTGAGACATTCTGAAAATGATATCCAATTGAAGTGAAAATATTTTTTCTTATCGTTTGTCTCATTAAATTTCTGTGCATAGGTTCAAAAACAATAAATTTTGAAACCAGTAATCGATGTTTAACAATCAATCCAGAAATAAATTCACGGAGTGTCTAAATACAACTCTAAATTATCCATTCTGCCCCATTTTCAGTAACAATTGATCCACTACTAAATTTCCTCCCGCAAAAAAAAAAGAAATGTTGAATATTGTCAAGTAACAGCAAAGGAAGTCAAATTGAATTTAAACCGTATACAAACTTAATAATTAAAACTTACAACCCTGCAGAAGACGAAAGAGATGGGAAGGAACATGAACAGGAAGAGGAAAAAACTGACAAAAAATGAATTAATGAAAAATCACAGTCTAAATATGAGTATAATCAAAACTGGGATGAATGCTGTACTGGTCAGGGCCCTTCCCATATCCAAGTGCCTTGGCAGCTTCCTCCTGATTCTTGGCGAGTTCCATGAGTGCCAGGGCCCCTAGCCACTTCTTATTGTCCTCCGGAGGTGGAAGTGTCAACTGCTCCTCATCCTGTCTCACAACGACAACTTTAACTTTCGTTTCCTCCGGGCTCCTCTGGATGCTCCTCATGGGCTCTGTGGTGTTGCTTGAGCCTGCTAACATGAGAACAGTTGGCCTGAGCTCATTCTCCACCTGTCTCACTGGCTTCAACATTTCCAAAAGTTCCTCAGAGTTCCCTGAATTACTAGCAGGCAGATTGCATGCTGCAGTCCACTCAGTATTCAATTCTGCACACTGATGAGATTTATCATTTTCATCTGCTTGAGAATCAGGAGAGACCTCGGGTTGTTTATGAGAAAGAATACAATTATCCCAGTCAATTTTCGTTGGATTGTTGTAGCCCTCGAGTGCATTATCACCACTAAATTCAATATGATGAGATAAATCCCGGACAGTGAATCTGGAATTGAAGAGTCCCATGCTAAGATTATGCTCTTCAGAATTATCAATATTGTCAGTATTGTCGTTGTTGCTCTGAGGATCATTTGCTCTGGTGCAGTCCCATCTCAGTGGTTTCGCAAGCTGTTGCTCCAGGCATGCTTCTCTCAACCAACGTTTCTTCGGTTGCAGCCTGTCCAGGGGTCTTCTCAAAGGTGTAACTGGAAGTTTTGTCGAGGGCTCCTCATCCTCAGAGTGCTGGAGCACAGAGCAGGCTTCTGCTGGATCTTCGTCGTCCTGACTCTCCTCCTGACTGCTCTGACTCTCGTTGCAGTAGAGCCTCTGATTAGCTGGCTTTCTCACGAGATTCTCCTGACCCCCAGCTCCATCCATCATCAGACCCTTTCGTGATTTTATCTTCTTGTTTTCTGAATTTGTCTTCCAGGGCTTTTTCTTTCTATCTTTACCTGTGGGCGTTCTGTCCTCTCTTTCACGTGCCATTTTGTAACGCTCCAACCATCGTGTTACGTCGTGGGGTAGATCGGTGTTGCCGGACACTGGTTTCAGGACGAAATCGTCAGAACGAGTCAGGGTTGCGTAGGGATGGTCTGGACAGTGTCGGTTGGCGTGGGTGAATCTCATCTCGCAACCGGGTTCGGTGCACAGGAAGGGCTTTTCACCTGTGTGCAGTCGTTGATGGGTTTTCAGCTGACCTGATTGGGTGAAGGCTTTTGTGCAACCTGGGTAGTCGCAGGGGTATGGACGTTCACCTGAAACATTTATTAATTCATTCTGTTGTTATTGAGATACACGTAAACTTCACAGAAAATTGGTCCAGTCATAAGATGGAAAAAGTCAACATATTTTTCAATTTTGTGTATTTTAATATATTTCACAGATATTTGTTATTACTCATGCCGTTTCCATAATTTTGTTAAAGTTGATACCAATATTTATATTATCAACTTTAAACATAAAATTCTTCTAATTTCATGTAATAGATACCGAAAAAAATGGAAAGAGTATGTATCGATAATATATCGCAATAATAAACATTCTTTTTCCACATTCAATTAATCATGCCAATATTATTTTCGAAAAAGTCCCTCAAAAATGAATGTATAAAGTGTACTATCAAATCATATCTCGCAAACTTTGCAATCTCACTACTATAAAAAATGAATTAAAACACCATTTATTTAAATTCATTTACAATTTCGACAAATAATTTTATCAATACCCCGAGAAACTCAGTTTTAATGTCTGAAAAATCAAAAAAACGCGCAGCCACATTCCCCCACAAATCTGGAGAAATATTTCAATAGAGAGATAAGCGGAACGATTTCCTTTGTGACAGAGGCCGAATGGCTTCCGAGAATCTCAACAATAAAAGAAGATCGTTTCGAGACAAAAGAAACTCCCGATGACCTAGAGCAACCGCAAATATTCAAAAGATATGGGAACAAAAAAGTAAATGAAATGGAAAATCCATCAAGCCCGTGTTGTGCACATGTGAAAGTGGCCATTTAACAATTTAAAGCGCGCATGATGGCGGTTGGCGGGACGCGTGATCACGCGTGACCGTTAATAGTATCAACTACCTATTCACCGAACAGTGTTCAATTCCCGAACATCTCTCATTGCCACCATTCAATGAACTTCAACCCCTCACCTATCCATCCAAGATCACTCACCCCAAAACAATCAAATGACCCGTCAAACCCACTTAATCCTCACCATTAAAAAATTATACTCAATTACCCTGAACTGCCCAATAACTAGTACTGAATATTACACAAAAAAAAAAAATATTGAGGCCCTCAAGGCACCATGCGGCGGTCAGAAAGATGATCCAATCCTTTCCAATCAAAACAAAAAAAATTTCCACATGAAAGAACTGTAATTTTTTTTGCTCACCGCCTCCCCTGATGCCACCACCAAAACAGAATTTAAATGATTAAATGGGGAATAAATGGATAATAAATAGAGAATAAATGGAGAATTAATGAGGTATCAATGGGTAATTAGAAAATGATGTACCTGTATGAGTACGGAGATGTGCCTGGAGACTCTTCTCCCTGGGAAAAACCCGATTGCAGAATGTGCATTTGATGCTACTGGGGGATGTGCTGCCCTGTTTCATGAGATTAGTGAGGGCATCAGCCCTTGGTCGTCCTCGACGATGACTCTCTGATCCACCTGACCTCATCCCACTACCCCTCAAACCCCCAGCCCCATGCTCCCTGTATTCAGGAGATGAGCAGGAACTTCCAGGGCTTAAATTAACATTTCTCGCTTCCTCACCCCAGTTCCAGGGGTAGAGCATTGTGTCGCACATAGGTGGACTCCTGGGACCCGCGTCCTCAGGACCTCGTGTATCCCTCTGTGGTGTATGCAACTCCATCACTATATCACTATGACTCACTCACTCCCTGTTTCTTTTTCTCAATCTTTACCTGTTAATTGTTGCTAATCAACAGTGAAAATTCAACAAAACACGTTAACACGACCTCTTAACATCAGCCACAGCCGCGTGCAACTGATTTCAACCGCCAAAATAATGTGGCGCCCCAACGACGCCAACTGGAAACCTGAGAAACGTTTTTTGGAATTCACGTACAGTCCCAATAAAAATTATGAATAATCCCTCGTTCCCTCCAGTCGTTCCAAAAAATTTTCGAGACCATCAACACCAGTTTTTCCAAAATTTATCAAAAAAATCATCCCTCCAATTAAACTCCACCCCTGACTAAACGTAAAAATCAATAATTAAGAGAAGGAAAAATTTTGCAGGTTTTCTCGTCTGCAATATACCAATTATCTACAGTAAAATCGTTTCGTCAGAGGATGTCAACGATGATTGGTCGGTAGAATGAGACAGTGCACATGGCGACGAGCCCTAATCCAATTTAGCAACAATATTTTCGATATGTACAAATGAGATTCATAAAAAATCACTCAAAACCCGTTGTCCGTGCCAGAATAAAACCGATGAACCGGGCTTTATCCGGAGACAATGCATAAGTGGAAAATATTTGACAAATGAAATTCATAATTTGTACAGTCGGCGGTGAATGTCCGCCTTGAAGAGAGCGAGTGATCACCGGATAAATAATATATTTACAGAATAATGGGTTTGTTAATAATAAAAATATAGTAATAAAAATGATTATAATATTTTTATAAATCAAATGCAATAATTTGATGGTCTAATGATCGATTATTTATTGAAAATGGAGGGGGTAGGAGTCGCTGGGTTGCAGACAATGTTGCAGGGTCCCTCCCCAAAGCGGCGGCAGACCTCGTGGTAGTCGATTCCACGACAACAGCCATATTGGAAATATTGAATGTCTCTGTTACACAAGGGCTCAAAAGTAGCCGTGAAATTTTCTCAAAATCCTCGTAGTAGAGAGGATATCATCAGCCATGGAGAACTCATACAGTATCACTGTAACTAATAAATTTTCCCTGGCACTTGACGAGGACGAGGATCCACTGGAATTGCTTAAAGAGAAGGAACAGGAGAAGGAGGCTAAGAAGAAGGAAAAGTTGTCCGAGAAGGAGAATAAGAGCAAGCAACCGGAGCCAACAAAGACAACCGGTGTTAAACCACCTAAGCCACGTGTTATCAAGGATAATCAGGAACATCCTAAGGCACAGAAGCCACAGGAGAATAAGAAGGAACAGGGTGAGTGACGGATTTTTATTTTCAATATTTTCCATTTATTCCCGTAATTGCCGCCTGCCCTCGTGCACGCTATTATGGCCGCCAACATGTTCGCGGATATCACCACCTCGTGTTCATTTTTTTTTTTCAGTATTTGCAACTCATTGCGGATCGGGGTGATTCGTGATATTGATTATTATTGTTTGGCCAATTGTTGGGGTTCAGCGGTTTTGTGGTTTTGTTATTTGCCAGGTTTTTAGGGTCTTTGGGACAGGGAATTGCAAATTGGCGCGGTTTTTCCCCTTTTCGGGGATTTTTTCGCATCGGGTAGGCCGTTTGAGGGTTTTTTTTTAGAGGGGATTTGTGACGCAGGATCTTTGGGGGCTTCTTAAGCTCCTGGAGGTCTATAGTTCCTTGTCCATATATGGAGTGATGATGTGTGGTATATATATGTGGATAGCTATATATATCGTATCTCTGCATTTGTACATTTTTATTTCTCAGGGAAATGGGGAATTGAGGAATTTGCTAGGTGAAATTGAGGGCTTCTAGGGTTTATCAGGGGATTTTAGATGCGAGGATCACGCGAATCTTATGGATTGGAAGGCCACATGGTTGCCATGTGCTTTGGACTCGAGTTGCCAATATGTCGGCTGTGGGACAAAAAAAAATGAAGGGGCGAAAAAAATACTTTTACCAATTTAATTTATGGACTTCAGCGAAGGCAAATATTCGCATATATTTACTTGACGGAAGTGAATTAATTTAGATTTTTATTTTTCACTGGTATCGGCAATGTCCCCAGTATTGCAACTTTTTGTTTCTACTGGTCTTTCTGAAGAAACAAAAAATTCATTTTGTCAATTTGGCGTCATTTCGAGGTACCAAGTCTTAATTTTCGTCTTTTTTTTTTTCTTTGATAGTGGAGAAAAAATCCTCGCAGCAGCGATCCAGTGGCAATGATCGCAACGTCAAGTTCTCCGGTGAATCGCGGGAAGAATACAACAACAGGCGCAATCGTGAAGATGGCGATCGACCTCCCCGTGGTCACGGTGGTGATGTGAGAAGAGGACCTCCTTCTGGGTAATTTTTAATTTTTCATTGACAACCTAAAAGCGGAGTGAGTCACTCCTACACTAATTATTGATGTGAAATATTTTGAAATATGTGAGCCTCGAGTAAATCTGATAGAAGGCCAGCTCAAACATAATTTTTCCAAATTTTAATTTGTAACCTAAATAAATGAAATCTATTCATTTTAACAGATAAATATGCAAAATAAATATAATTAAATGTTTATTGATAATCAAGACATTTTATAGAAAACGTGGGTTAGACTATAGAGGTAAAAATGATTTTTTTTTTTCGGCTTGTTACAGTGAGGGAAGAGACAATCGAGAATTCCGTAACCGTGAGTCTGGAGATGGACCACGAGGTGAATTTGGCGATCGTCGCGGTCCCCGCAGCGGTGGCCCACGTGGAGCTGGAAGTGGTGGACCACGTGGTGGCAGCCGAGGTGGACCACGAGGTGCACGATCTGGTTTCGATAACCGGGGAAAACGTGAATTCGATCGTCAATCAGGCTCTGACAAAACGTAAGTTAACTAATTACATATTTGAGACATTCCACTAAAACCTCCAGCAATTTCTCCCACCAACAATTTTCATCTGCTTTACATTTTCACGATTCATGTCTAAAAATATTTACACTAATTGAATAAGTATTGAAATTAATTCACCTGGATGATAAGAAATGGAGATGGGATAAGATTCGTTAAAATCTAAATTAACCTGGGATTGATGGAACATAGTACTAATTGAAAAATTTATTTCTTTGTGCCTATGTTTGCAAGCAGGCAAACGAGGTAAGAGTCCTTTGGCTCTTCTGCATGATTTATGTTTTGTGTATTCTGTGTATTCAGTTGTTGTCTTAAAAAGGGTAATATGTGTATTTGGTGTATTGTTAATAACAGGCATAATTACAGCGGGGTGAAACCAGTTGACAAGAAGGATGGCGCTGGCAGCCACAACTGGGGAACCCATAATGATGAAATTGAGTAAGTTTTTTTCATTTTTATTCACGTCAAGATGAAAAACGTGCGACTCATTTGCTTATTGCTTTTATATTATATTGCTTTATATTGCTTATTAAAAAAAACATTTCACACCTTCACAGCGTATTCTTTATATCTTGAAAATTCAAAGGAGTTAAAAAGAATAATAATAAATTCGGTAATTGCCACAGAGAAAGCCTCAACAATGATCACCAGGACTGGAACACTGAAAAATCTGACGCTGATACCCCGAACACCTCATCCGAAGCGAAAGAGGGTGAGGCTCCACCAGCTGATGCCTCGACCGAGGAGAAGCCAGCCGAGGAAGAGGCCAAGGAATTGACATTTGACGAATGGAAAGCTCTTCGTGGTGCTCGTGCCAAGCCAACCTACAATCTTCGCAAGGCTGGTGAGGGTGAGGACTTGACTCGTTGGAAGAAGATGTACGCTCTCGAGAAGAAGAAGGAGGGCGCCGAGGAGGATGATGAGGAGGAGGAGGATTACGATGCCGCTGTGGAGTATCCGCAGCGTGTTGGCAGACAGAAACGTGTTTACGATATTGAGATACAGTTTACTGACTCACGACGTGGAGGTAGTGGACGTGGAGGACGTGGAGGACGTGGACAACGTGGAGATCGCCAGAATGGACGTGGATTTGGTGGCAATCGTGGTGGCCCTCCCAGGGAGGGTGGCCCAGCCGCTGAGCCTCGTGCTCCTGTTGTAAGTTTTCATTTCTTTCCAATGGAAGTATTCATCAAATCCCAAATTTTTTATTAAAAAAAAATTATTTAATTATTATTACCCAATTGTTCCAGGAGCCTGCAGCAGCTGCTATCAAGGTTGCTGGACCGGTGGTAGAGCAGAGATCTCCACGTGGACGTCAGAATGCCCCAAAGGTTGACGACGAGCACGATTTTCCCTCCTTGGGTTAAGATCTCATCTTCACCTACCGCAAGTTTCTTCAGTACCCATTGAAGAGAGGGAAAAGAATTAATTAACGAAAAAAAAACCTGAAAACAAAATGAGTCCCCACCATATTTTACCATGAGCCATCGTAACAACACAATCATCGACAGTTTGACAAAAAGTAAAATAACAAAAAAAAACATCGTAATTACTATCTTTACTCTTACTCCTTGCTACTTTAAACCTACAGTTGCCAACAAGTCGCGTATGATACAACCATTCATTGATGCATAATACACGACATAACACTTAATGCATACACTTTTAACTGTATACGTACTTGACATTTAAAAAGAAAACGTGAGCGTACGAAAAATTGAAACTATTGCGCCGAGGCAGCATATTATAAAATACCAGACAAACGAGGGACACGATAAGTAGAGTGAGACTTTAATGACAACGGGAAAACCAAGTAAACACATTTACTATAAAAACAAAAAAAATTGTACTGGTATAACGTTATTTGTTTCTAGATCCATCACAACTAGTTGTCAGCAATAACGAAAAAGAAAGACAAATGAAAAAAAAATGTGAATGAACGGGGATCGTGCGAACGTGAGATAAAACCCAGTGTGTATGTGAAAAAAACGATGAATGCAATTATTCTTTTTGTTTCTTTTAAAGAGAACTGTTTTTTCGTGTTTCAACTTTGGTATGAGAATAATACTAATGGTCATGCACACAAGAGATTTTTTTTCTCAATGAAAAAAATGAAAAATGTGTCTCACAATTTTTTGAAATAGTGTTTGGAGAAAAAGCAAAAAAAAGGCATTAATTGTAGAGTGTTGTGATTGATTGGTGCTTTTTCAGAATGATTCCAATCTCAACGGCACAATTGAAAGCAAATAACGGAGTAGAGAGATAATTTTTACAATAAAATTAAACAGATGAGGAAGATTAAATAATGAATCTTTTTTTTTTTACTTTTTTTTGCCAATTTTTAATCTGTTGATGTCAATACAAGGGCCTATTATTGAGAAGCTAATGATTGGATGGGAATTACGATCGAGTACGCTTGTAAAATACATCTGTAGATGATGATGAATTTTGAACACCTCGTTTAATTCTCTTTTTTTTTTATATTGTGTAAAAAAATTGTAAACCCAGTGGTGTTTGGAAGCCTTCCTCTGCGCTGTTAAAAAAAAAGTGACAAAAATAATTATCGGTAGGACGATAAATACCTGCCGTGCGTAAAAACTTAAGGGACTTTATTAAATAAAAAAAGAAAATGTATTTCTATATAAGAAACAAAAATTGGATATTTCGATTTATGAATTATCTGGATAGACTAAGTTTGGCTTATATAGAAATATATAGCAATGATTTTTTCTTTTGAAGAATTAATTGTTCATGAATGATTCTTTACCCCGGAACGATAGCGGACCGCATCCTCTCCTTGTTGAGTCAATTTTAATCCTCGAATGTTGAGAGTCACACGACATTGCCAGATTGCAGAAAAACCTGATGAGATCTCTACTTGGATAATTAAAAATTTAGGTAAATCAACGTGATGAAAAATCCACGAATTATTGATTGTGCTTCGACAGTCCAGAACTGCAGAACCATCAACTATTAGAAATCCCATTTCCTGAAGAAATAATGAAAATTGGCGAAATCAACAGCCGAACAGATTCGGAAATAAACTGAAGTAATTACTTTAATCAAGAATAATTAATAAATATTTCTTTGCATTTTTTAGTATGTGTGTAAATAACGAATATTTACAAATAAACTATTAAATTGTAACAAGAAGTCCAATGAAAATAATCATTCTATTAACTAATTTGTCAACTGTGTTCCCTATTTTCCGCAAACAATTACGTGGATTTTTATTATTTTTTTTTTAATTCAAAATTCCCTTCTCCCGGGAAATCCCATTATTGCGCGATTGATGAATTTTTTTTGAAAATTTTTCAGGTGGAAATTTTTCAAAAAATGAAAAAATTGAAAATCACTCTACGGGGGCTCATTCTCCCTCATTTCGGAGGAAGTATCAGGAGGGGCATGAAAATGGAGGAGGTAATAACTAAAATTCGAAAATTTGAAATATTTGAGAAAAAAATCAGGGGAACATGAAAATCGAGGAGGTATTCACTGAAATTTGAAAATCCGAAATTTTCAAAAGTGCATCAGGGGAGAATGTGTTGCCCTCTTTCTCTTGGGGTGAGGTACTACAATGACGTTGGGGTCAATCAAACTTCCAGAACTGAGCCTCTCCTTTAGTCAATCCTCTTTGCCACTAACTCCTCAGTCACGTTCTCCGTGCCCCCTCGACATGGCGCATATCGTATCACCAGCAATGTAGAAGAATATTAACAATTTCTCAATAAATAATTCACAATCTGCTGCAGTGACAGTGACTGTGAACCGCCCGTTGTCCTCTTAGTGTTAATAAAATTATGCTAAAGACCTAAAAATTTAAATTAGACAATTTTTTCGAATAGAAAGGATACGATTTTAACCCTTGGTAGTTACTTAACGGATACACTATAATCTATGAAAATAATCAAAAGTGAAAGCAAAGACTTTGACCTCATTGACGACTCATTTTAATTCCCCGAGTCCTGCTAATTTTATGGGACTCACTTTCAGACTGTCCTTTTTTTGTTTGAGATTTTTTTTTTAATTTATATATTTTTGGATAAATTATTAAGATAGCAATGAGTGCGGGGGACGGTCGTACCGAGGAGGTGATCTACGTTGGCTCTCGCAAGAGCGAAGTAAGTAATTAATTAAGATAAGTTATCTCATTAATTTCTCAAAGATAATAGCACCTGAGAGTAGATTAATTATTTGACTCTTGGAAGTGAAAGGGAAAGTCAATTTATTTTACTCAAGTTTTTAAAAATGAAGGAGAGATTTTTGGTTTTGTTTTGAAGATAAAAAAGAATTCAATCTCGAGGAAATTCTTATTGACAATTTTCATGGATCGTTTTTTGATTGAGGGATAGTGAAAATACATCAGACATGCCATCAATCAAAGCCTCCTCATGCTTAGTCAGCAATTTCCACATTTCTTGCATACGTTTTCCCTTCTTCCAGTGTCATTATTAATTCATTATTGTTTTGCAGTTGGCATTAATCCAAACGAGATATGTAATAGCATGTCTCAAGGAAATACATCCGGACAAAAAATTCGAAATAGGTAATTAATTGTTACTTAGCGTTGCTTTATCACTTTTCCAAAGGTGTACGTCATTTATGATTCTCTGAATATTAATAATTGGTGAGAGAGGGGACAGTAAAACGTCACTGAACTCATCTATTACTTCAATTCCATTAAATTTTTAATGATTTTGAAGGACAGAATAATAATTACAAATTTTGTCCTGAATTTATCTATTCCATTTTCTCCTGAAACTATTTCTATCCAATATGAATTAAACCTATTTATTCAATTGATTAATTAATGAATTATTAATTAATTCGAATTTAATTGAAGAATTAAATCGAATTGATGAATTGTTATGAATTAAGCATTATAGATAGCAGGAGAATATTGCACGTATAATATAATTTATTCAATTTTCGTTTGTTAATTCTAAAAAAATTTCAAAATCTAATGCAATTTCCCATTTTTATTAATTCAACACTCAGACAAGACAATCTATTGAATTTATCTTCTAGTAACAATGAGCACGAAAGGTGACAAGATACTTGACATATCACTGCCAAAAATCGGTGAAAAAGCTCTATTCACCCAAGAATTAGAACTAGCTCTGGAAAGTGGAAGAGTTGACTTCCTAGTGCACTCTCTGAAAGACCTACCCACGACATTGCCAGAAGGAATGGCATTGGGAGCTGTTTTAAAACGCGAAGACCCGAGAGACGCTGTGGTGATGTCAAAAAAGATGAAAGGGATGACATTAGCAACATTACCAAAAGGCAGTGTAATTGGTACAAGCTCTTTGAGGAGATCAGCCCAATTAGCTCGGAATATGCCGCATCTAAAGGTGGAAAGCATTCGTGGAAATTTAAACACAAGATTGAAAAAACTGGATGACGAAGGGAGTCCTTTTGCAGCGATAATTCTAGCTGCTGCGGGGTTAAAGCGAATGGGATGGGACGAGAGGATCAGCCAGGTGTTGGAACCCGATGAAGCTCTCTATGCTGTGGGTCAAGGAGCTCTTGGTATTGAATGTCGTGAGTCTGATTGGAAAATACTATCTCTCTTGGAGCCCCTGTATGACGTAGACACAACACTTAATTGTGTTTGTGAGAGATCATTTTTGAAAACACTTGGAGGTGGATGTTCAGCGCCTGTGGCTGTTTGTTCCTCACTCAAAGAAAAATATTTAACCATCACCGGGGCTGTCTGGTCGCTTGATGGACAGACGCTTATCAAAGATACTTTGAATAAGAAATTGTATCTACCAGATGACGATGACGAACCTCCCAAGTAAGTTATTTTTCCGATTTATCTTTAAAAAACTCAGCGATAATCAGTCCAATAAATGAAAAATAACACTTTTTCATAGTCATACGATAAAACAACGTACTGGTAAAATACGATGAATTCATTTTTTATCAATTCCAGCTCTTTTAATTAAATAAACCAATTTATTGCGGTTCCAATTTCTGTACAATACCATTTTATGCCATTCAATGAAGAAAATACATCTACAAACACTAAATTTTAATTGGATTCATAATACCTCACCCTAACGATAGACTTTGCAAAATATTTACGTAATTAATCTAATCGGGAAATGATAAGACTGGATGAATCAGCTTTACTCGAGGATGAGTTTATAATGGATATTAAGAATTGGAAGAAGATGGCATTTTTATTGAAAGCTTCCTTCCGTCTTTCCTTTACGTCGATGTTTTCTCAAGAACATTTCTATATCCTCTTTCCTCACTCTATTCATGAATGAATAATTACCGATAAAAGCTATTGACGACTATTTCTCGGAAGTGAATATTTTATGTTGCTCTGTGTAGGAAATGTCCGTATCGTGAGCCGCGTCTCTACTGCAGCATCGCCCCTGGTAAGGTGAGCAGTATGGGTCTTCTCGGTGCTGAACAACTTGGGAAGGAATTGGCCGAGAGTTTGATAAATAAAAATGCATTAGAAGTTATGTCAAAGGCCAGAGAGGAAGTTCTCAGTTCATCGAGTTAGAAGTGCACTCCTGACAAAATTAGAATTAAAAAATGAGGAATGATTTCACTGCCTACGATTTAGTAGTAGAGCGGGAAAGCGAAATGCGTTATTGTCTCATTTTAATTTATCATTCAAGTAGGGAACGAGAAGAAAAAATGGACTCATTCAAATTTTTATAAGTTGTACAACTTCATTCTATCGTTGGTCAAAAGGAATCTATGAAGCGTTTTTCCTCATCTTTCTATAATGAGTTCATGCTCCAATCATTGAGACAAGCACAATGGTACAAGTGTTCTCTGTAATTATTGTATAAATATCAATAATTCGCACTCCTGAGACCACATGCCTTTCTTTTTGATTCTGTACAAATACTTTATCTGTTTTTTGTTAAAGTTTTTATTGACAAATTTTGTCGGCGTAATCTTGTGAATAATAATGTGAATTCTGACGAGCGTTTTATCACATCGAATTCGTCGTATTGTTGTTGAGAATTAATAAAACGCTCGCGTGTACAGTAAATGAGAAGAGGGTAATTGATCGATAGTTGTGGTATTTAGAAAATATATTGTATTGTAAAGACGAGCAGATTTTTCAACGAAAATATTCTGCAAGTCTATAATGGGTTAAATAAACAGAGCGGATATTTGGGTTTAGTTTGTGCTTTTAGATTACTTAATACCTAGAGTCTTTTATTCACGCTAACACTTGCGGGATTTTTTTTTTTTTGGTTAGTTCTGAATTAAGCGTTCTCTGGGTCAACTAATGGTTTGTTTTGCAACGTCATTTCTTTCTCGTGTATTTTTTTTGCTCATAATTTTTTTTATTATTTAGAATTGGCCAATTTGACAATTTATTCCACATCTTCCTCAGTCATTGTGGATTGCGACGCGAGTTTCTGCAACATTTGATAACAGAGTGTCAGATATTTTGGTCAAGATTTAGAGGGTTTATCTTTCGTTATAATTACCTGTCCCACAGCGGGTAATCTCTGCAGAAGAAGATGGAAAACTTGTGGTGGTACTGTTTTCTGCAGAACGCGCAGCAGCTCCTGTGGCTGACCACAGACAGCAACGGCGTTCGCCAAATGTTCAATTCCACCCTCTACGTCGCCACAAGTCAACATCTCTTCACCAAGTTGCACCTGTTTGGATAATAACTCAATGATTAGAGTGAATACTGCATTCGTGGGGTTATTTAGAGTCGAAGGACAATTATTTAATGGAAAAATAAATGGAATTATAACAACACGAATCACGTAACAATTTTTGGATAAAATGGCATTGGTCCTCATTTTAACTGGTCAGTTTTTGATGGACAGCATCAGGTCAATGAGGTAAACAAATAATTAAGTTAATATTTCACTTCCTCTTTTCTCATCTTACGACTATTTGTGGGTTATTTTTCAAGACTTTTAATCAGCAGTTTGAAAAATAATTACCTCTTGAAGGAAAAACCTCTGCACTACTTCATGATCCTTGAGATCCGGAATCGTTGACCCAGTCTTCTTGGCTTGTCTTTTCACTTTCCTCCCTGAGTAATCAAAGACAGAAATTACATAAAAACCTCATGGTTTGTTAGTCTAACCCAACTAGCAACCGCAAATACTCTCAAAAAGAAAAAAATCCAATGACAACAATTCAAAAGCCCGATAAGAATAACACAGACTGTTCTCTCCCCTTATACAATCCAGTTAAGCAAAGAAAATGGTATAAAAATAGCAAAATATGAGAATAAAAAATTCACTTACTCTCACGGAGTTTCTTTTTGAAGTCGGGATCACTCCGACGTTTTTGATCGAAGTAAAAGCAGTAGCCAACGACAATACCCGCTATTCCGACGGCAATGCCCATCGCTGTCTTTGAAATCATGGCCATCGTTTTTAACAGTAGAAGAAATATTTATTTTTTTACAAATGAATCGATACTCAGTGAAAACTCATTGCATCCCAACGGGTTTTGCCCTTTGCTCGTTTCAGTGCTTTCACTACCCACCATTAGAGGGCAACATTTCATCGTTAAAAATCGCCAATTCTCGAGAATAACCGATGGCAAGTCGACGAAGTTCTTCTTAAGTTCTTCACAAAGCCATTTCAGTATGAATACGTGAATATATTTCTTGTAATTGTTTAAAATTTAATCCAACAAAATCTGTTCAAAACAAATTACAAAATACGAATGATCTGATGAATTTTTCTCCATGATCTGTCGTTTAATTGTATTTTCTCGACATGGATATATCAAGTAAGTATTTATCAATGATAAATGTTTTGGAAAACAATGATGACAGGATTTTACTGAGACGCCGAGTATTAAGGATTATTAGATTCTCAAAAAAGGGGAGGAAAAAGTTATCATGATTTGGTATTTTAAAAATCATCGCAAAATTTCAGAATTACTGCAAAAGAAGCGTCGGGCCCAGGGCAACGGAAACATGAAAATAATTGCAGAAGTTTCGAAAGAACTTGGAGACATTTATTTCCAAACGGAAAAATACCTAAAGGCTCTTAACCAATACAAGGATCAAGTAGAAGCTTGCGAAAGTCTGGATGACGCTTTACAAACAGCCGTAGGGAACCGAATGATTGGCGAGGTTCTCACGAGCTTAGGTCGCTTCGAGGATGCCCTGAAATATCAAAATCTCTACCTCGAACGAGCCATTGAGTTGAATGACCTCATCGAGCAGCAGAGAGCTCACGCCGGTCTGGGTCGCACCCACTTCTGCATGAGTCACTGCCTCGAAGATAAAACGAAAAAAAAAGAAGCTCTCAATGCCGCTAAAATCGCCTACCTAACGAGTCTGAAAACTTGCGACAAATTCGAGACGTCTGGAGTGAATATTCACATCAAAGAGGTGATGACGATGCGAGCTAGATTACTCTTAAACCTCGGGCTTGTGCTAGAAGCCAAGCAACATCCTGAGAAGGGAAAAGTACTGATGGAGAAAGCAGCACAACTCTGTGAACAGAATGGACTTGACGAGGATCTGCACCGAACCAACATCTCTCTCGGAAAGGTCCACGAAGATGTCAAAGATTATTCTTCAGCCCAGGAATTCTACCGCAAAGCTGCAAATATTGAAGACCCCATTCTCAAAGAATCAGCCTATCTGCACGAGGCAGAACTTCTTGTAAAATGGGGAAAGTGGAGTAAAGCGAGGGAAATGTTGGTTCAATTGTACGTCCATCACAACAATTCTTCCGGCAACCACAAGAAAGTATCCAAGCTGCTGAAAATTGTTGCAATAATCCAATCTTGTGAAGAGAAATTATTGTCAGAAGAGAATAATCAAACAAGACTGGAGTTGTATGAGACGATGGGTGATGCTGCGTCAGTTGGAAATGCTTTTGAGACAGCTCTAGACTATTACAGAAATATGCTAGCGTGTGCTGAGATTGGGGATATCCAGGAGAAGATTGGAACGGCCTTGGTTAGTGTCGCTCAAACCTTGAAAGACCTGGAGAAGTACGATGAAGCTCTTGTGTATGCCAAAAAGGAATTACAACTTTGTAAAGACCCCAAGGAAATTTGCAGATCCGCTCTGTGCCTGAAAGACTTACTAATCCTCTCGAGTTCCCCCGAATCTCATATCCAAGAGGCCTTTGGCCATGCTTGGAAGAATGCAGAGAAGTCTGGGAACTTGGCCTTGAAATTATCTGTCCTCCAGAGCAGGCTGGATTACTGTATATCAAAAGGAGAAAAGGATACTTCAAAATTGAGACAAAATATCGCTGAAATACAGGAAATGACTCAAGACGATGAATCGAGCGATGAAGAGGACCTGGAGACCTCTTTGAAAGGTATAAATATCGAAATCGATGAGTTATTAGACGTTGAGGAGGAGATGCAGAAGAAGGAAGGGAACACAGTGAGAAAGAAGCGTGTACCAAGCATAAAATTCAAAAAGACTTCACATGGAGAAATGCCTCTACAGGTTGCATGCATTGATGGGGACAAAAAAAAAGTTGCAGAGCTTCTAAAGCAAGGACATCCTGTGAATTGCCGGGATTACTGTGGATGGACCCCTCTCCACGAGGCAGCTAACCACGGATTCTTAGAAATTGTCAAATTATTGGTGAATTATGGTGTTAATATTAATGATCGTGGAGGGCATCAGTGTGGCAAATTAACTCCGCTCCATGATGCGGCCACTTGTGGGCACATTGATGTCGTCGATTTCTTGATTGAGAAAGGAGCAGACCCTAGACTCAAGACAGCTAAAGGAGATACTGTGCTGGATTGCCTGGAAGAATGGAAGCGTAGAGTGGGTGAACTCAGTCCTGAGGATGAAGCTAGGTATCAAATTGTTAGGAATAAACTGAAAGCGATTATTCCCAGGGCGACTAAGCCCTCATCGAGAGGTGCTGACAACTCAAACACTCCACGTGATTCTCTGACTGATTCAGATGCAGATACCAACGATCTTCCAATGATTCCACCAGACTTACCCAGAAAGGAAAAAATATCTGCTGGAGAGGATTACAGGAGAACCATCGAGAGTTTAAAATCTAATCGATCAAGGATTATGACACCTAGTAGTTCGAATCGAAACGTTGAACCTCTGATTGATAGTGAGGAACTTATAATCGATGAAGACAATTGGCTGGAGGAGGACGTGAAAATTCCAACTGCCAAAAAAAGAAGAAGCGCTCCCAACCTTGATACTCCAGGCTCGGTGAAACGGAAATCTATTACTTTGACTCCAAATGAGGATAAAAATCCGAAGAGACGTAGGAATAATGATAATGATGAGGTGGAGTGTTTGGAGGACAGTGAGAACAGTCGAGATAGCGGTTCATCTGAGAATTTCGATATTTTTACTGCTAGTACGTCGAATTCTTCACGATTTCACAGGACGAAGTCTAAGCAGAAATCATTGCTGACCTCTGGGTTCACCAGAACGTTAGAGTCGAGAACTCCATCTCCTGTGTTTCACCAGCCAGACTCGTTTGGTACCCAGTTACGGGGTCAGAGGGTTGATAATCAGAGCAGACAGCATTCCGTAAAGGTTGAGATTGAGTTGGATAACCGTATTATCAAGACTAAATTGAGGATCGAGGACGATAGTATCAATATAATTGAGGCTTTAATGAATGATGTCGTGGGAAAATTTGAAGAAATGACTGGATGTCGTGGGAGGATCGAGCTGACGACGTCTTCTGGTGGTGTTATTGAAGCTGATAATATTTTAAATATTATTTATAAGAATGATGGGGTGCTTAGACTTGCTGGACGAGTACTGGACCTTCAAGTTCCATCGCTCGTCGACCGCTTCGAGAAATTTTGCAGAGCCATGCGAATCGACGGAGACGATCCTGAGCTTGTGAGATCATTGAAGTCATGTAAAAATACTGGAATTTTCCGGCTGAAGAGTGATGAATGTTTGGATCTACTGTTGATGCCAATTTTAAAGAGTCTGGAGTACGAGAAGAGTCTGCAGGTGTTGCACTTGTCCTCAGGCATTTTGTATAATTTGGGGGAGAGTGTAAATGAGACATTGGACAGATTAACGTCTCTGCAGGAGTTGCATCTTCAAGGATGCGACATTGATCATCAATTTTTGAGAGCAATTGATCATTTACCCCCTCAACTTCGAGTTTTGGACATGGGTTACAATCCATTGGGTCCACAGAGTCAGGACAAACTGGGAGAGTTGATTGCTCCTCTGAAGTGTCTCCAAACTCTTAACTTACGATGCTGCGGTTTGGAGAGATTTCCAGCAACGAGTATCAGCTCGAGTCTAGTGAATCTGGATGTATCTGGGAATTTTATTCAAGGAGAGAGTGTGGAATTCCTCCTTGAGAAACAGATAATTAATTTGAGTATTTCCAATACTTATAGTCCAGAAAATTCAATTCAAGAGGTCTTGATGAGAGGCATGAAGTCGATTTTTATGAGTCTCGAAACTCTGGAAGTCACTGGCTGTAATCTGACAAACGTTGATGTACTGCAGGTGATGGAGAAGTGTCAAAATTTATCAAAATTCGTTTTGGGGGATAATCCTGAGGTGTCCCAGGTGGCATTGGAGGCTTTAATTGGGAGGAGGCCCACATTTATATTGATCGACATGACAGGCTGTGGAAAGATAACAGCAATTCCCAGTTTAGGGTTGAGGATTCAGAATCCCTCAGTGTGTACTTTAATGGCAAGCTTTTCTGAGGAAGTTTGCAACTCGTGGAGAAATTTGTGGAGTCGTCAAGCCATGTTGTACAACCATCCACATGACGTTGTTATCATCAGACCATTCACGTAATTTTTATTTATTTCATTTTTGTATCAATTTTTATATTTTTTTATTGTTATCTCAATACCCATTTGTACAATTTGTTACCCACTTTACAATGAATGTTTTCAACAGTGATGTAACTATTTTCAAAATTTTTTGAAAGTATATCAGATAGACTCTCGTTGAGACCGGGAATCAATTTTCTGAGGTCATCTTCTTTATCTCCAAGGAGCCATAGAAAACTTATGTGATAGGACGCCTCCTGAAAGATCAAATTTAGTGGATAAATTAGTTAAATGTATGTTAAATGTATATATTGTAAAGGAAAAATGGCGAATAACTAATTTACCTTGTAGAAGGGAGGAAGTTGATATTCTGAGAGCAGTTTATTCAATGAAATCATATATTGTGATAGGGTTTGATCGAGCGGTTGGCACTCGAGAGCGATGAATGTCCTGGTTCTCTCTTCGTTACAGTAAACGTTCACGTTTGTTATTTGAAGTGTAAATTTTAAAGTTGACCTTGTCAGGTCTCTCAGGCTTTCTATGAATGACTCGATCCAGTGATATTTCAGGACCAAAGTTCGACTGAAACTCAGGTGACAGTCGTTGAAGATCAGGATGCCCGAGGGGATTGTCACATTCACTGATTTCATCCATGACACCAGAACTTCGCTGGGTTCATCTACCAATTTCAGTATAAACTCAGATAATCATTTTTTAATCAAAAAAAATTTTATCTCTACGTTAAAAAAGTTATTTGTAAGAACTCATAATTTTTAAGATTTTTGGGGCGTAATTGACTAGTCAAATTTCCATTTACTGATTGATTTTTTTATTGAATGTCAATAGTGAATAGAAATTTGGGAAATATTGGTAATAGATAATATATTCGTTATCGTTGATTATCAGACATTTTTACAATTGATTGTTTTCCTGAACTTGGTGGAATAATTAATTACATACATTCAGCATAAACAAGTGTTGCCCAGTTTCCTCGTTCATGTCCAAACGATCTAATACGTCCATGATGATCTCCAGGATTATCAAGTACAACTTCACGATCCTGTAAGCCTACTCTGACTGGAGTAAACTTTGGTAAAGGCAAACTAAATAAAAACAAGTTGTTTAATGATTCACGTAGGCATAACCTCTGCCACAATGATTACCTTACCTGTTAAGTTTTATTTTCTTCTCAACAGTTTCTGAAGATTCCTTTTCATCTTCTGAACTCGATGAATATTCTTCTATCAACTTTAACCCAGCCATCCCTGCCATTTTTGCACGAATTTATGTTGTGACAACCAAATGACAACATGATTGAGTCACTTGGTTACCAGAGTTCCTGCTAACTCCCACGTGTCCTCACGTGATGACTGACGCTTTCGTGAACTCTTACTTTCAATGGAATTATTATCTAACTTACTACTAGGATCGTAAAATGTACAGAACGCAGCAGGATGAAATGAAAACAATGTAAATACCTTTTTTTATTCTCAATTTTTATTCATAGGCTTAAATTGTTTTCAGCAGTAATTCTTTCTTTCAAACATATGTGAATGACTTATTGAAATGACTAATAGAGCGAATATACAAGTAACAACTGCTCAGGAGCAGGTTCATAGGTTTAAATACGTCCTGCGAATGTGTTATTAGCAATTTGCTCATCCCATTTCTCGATCCAGGCATTTGGGCAAATTATCTTGTAAACTCTCTTGAAATACTGACAAGCTTCGTAGTCTTCACCACGAACGTTAGAACAGCGCTGGAAATCCAAGAAATTCTGATGGCAGTTTCTGAAAATCAACATTTTCACGTTGAGAAAAAACTGTCCCGAACTCATCTCTGGATTCAGCTTTATGTGAATGAGTGTAATGACGATAAACGACAGGTTTTGAAAGAAAAAATGTCTGATGAAATTGTGACGGTATTTTGTATTGTGGAATGAATTGATGAGCATGTTTTACCTGGTCTGATTAGTGTTCGTGAATCTGGTATCTAGAGGTACCGTCCGATACTTCTCGGCGAATTCCATAGTGAGTGCCTCCTTCTTCATTTTGCTAATATTCCCTTACAAATTGTCTGCGTCAATAAATTCCAACAATAAACTACAATGTACGAATACAACTTCTTAAATAATCGATCCAGGAATATCATCTATTTTCTAATATCTCAATTATATCGATAAACAACGAAAGAATAATTACAGCTGTACGTATCGTATATCGCCCTGACGAATTATCTCATGATAATGAAACGTCAATCTAACAAAACATTGAGCACGAATGTCTTCTAGTTATCTTCACAATTATTTCATGAGGAAATGGAATAAAAATCGAAATGAAGGACTATAACTCTCCTTGATTTTTCTGATGCTTGCTCGATAGTCCATGAATAATGAAACAATAAGATAAAAATAATTATTGAAAATACAGGAGATTATTTGACGAGAGGCCTCGTATTATCCTCCTCCTGGCAACAGACTTCCCGATACTTTTTCACCTCCGCCATGTACAACGACCAAGCGTCTTTAGGCTGTTCGCTCTTCTCCTCGGTTTTAGGTTTGGCAACCATTCCAGTCTTGAGGATTCTACCCCCACGTCTTTTACCCACCATCAGAGGAGGTGGTGCCACTGGTTTCTCCTCAAGAGACGATGTTGTTGGTTTTGGTGTTGGTTGCATCTGCTCCTGCATCTTCTTAAACATCTCCATAAAGCTGCCATCATTGGCGAAGGCATTGGATTGTGATGGAACAATAGGTAGTGCTGGTGCAACTGGCTGAACAAGTTCAACTTGCTCACCATGATGATCAGAGTCGGACGATCGATGATGTCTTCTACCATCGCGATGACGATCCCTATCCCTTCGACCTCGACTTCTGCTCCTGCTTGGACTCCTACTGTTTGTCAAACTTCTACTGATACTTCTCGATCTGCTTCTTCGTCGATCGCGCGATCGATTTTTACCCCGTGATCTTGAGAGTGTTCTTTCACGTCTCGAGTGCCTCCTCGAGCGTTCACTCGATCGGGAACATCTTCGGGAAGAGATTAATGGGGAACGTTGCCTCGATATACTTCTACGTCTTCGTCTTCTCTCAGATGATGTGTTACGGGAGGATTTACCCGTCCTGTGCTCTGGTGATGGTGTATGCCGTGTGTGGGATCTCTTGTGGGTCTCCTGGTGGCTAGATGTATAGATTGGTGGTGATGGGGCCTCTGGTGTGTCCGACCTCGAGTGGTGACCTCGATCGTGACGTTTTGACTCCATTTTGATATTCAGCGTGTGGCCAATCCAACTGGGATCCACCAGCTCTCGGTATCACCTTGGGACACCTACAAGGATAGAAACTACCTTCTATGAGTACGGTGCTTTGTCTGCTGTCGGTCATGCCAGTTTACTCATTTTTTCTTTTTTTTTTTGCGTCTTAGTTTTTTGACCAGTTTATGGTTGACTTTTTTTTGGAGATATTAATGGCACAGCGATAATACGATACGTACAGCCATTTTACCGGGCTTCAGGTGGTTTTAAAATCAAGGGGCATCAAGAGATTTGTAGAGTGGGGTAAGGATCTATTATATATTTCATTCCTTGAGATTCAGAATATTGTTCTTCATTCTAAAGCGAAGTGGCGAGATGAGATTAATTGATTCCGAGAAAAATTGCTGTTTGCTCAGAATTTTTTTTCTGTTACAGAAGAAAAACTAATCATGTAAGATATATCTCCGAAGTTGAAGAACATGTTAGTCTTCATGATAAATTATTAATGATTAATTATTGGGAATTATTTATTGCACATAGAGGAAATTATTTTTAGGTGTAAATATGTCGGGTTATTATGATTTCGTTTTCAAAATATAATTGTGAAGTTGAAGTCGCTCATCTCATTCCCACTTCACAATCGAATTCAAGGAGAATTGTTCTTATTTGAAGACTTCCCATGTTTTAAGGTTATAACTTGCGGCCTGGAGAACTCAAGAAAATTCTATCCATACTTGAAAAAAATTTTTATCTTCTGGTATTTTTCAAGATAGGGGCAGAGGCCTTCCATATTTCGTAAAATGAAAACTCTTCGTTTTATGAAATAAAATTAACTGATAATCCCACAACTTTACAATCTGAAAAGAAATCCTCGTATTTTCACTGACATCAGCGTTCAATTTCACTGAGTGTCCAAACAAAAACGAATTATCCTTGCAAAAAGAACAATATCTTCACTTTATCGTAGCTCTTATATCGGTCGAGCATTTGTTGCCATTTTTAATCCCAATATTGGAATGATATTTCGTATAAATTAATCATGATCCTTATCAGTGTCATGCATATAAATCTTATGGAAAAATTTAATATCGATTTGTATTCACTCGCAATTCGCATACTCCAAATTCCTGGATAAATGACAAACGTCTTAAATCTATATTTTTCCTAAACTTATGATTTGACTTCATCCTCGCATTGACTATCATTGATTTAACCTTTAACCCTCAGTAAATCATCTAAATGTCTTACCAAAAAAGAAAAGTACTCTGAACCATCTCTAGATGCTCTAGATCAATGATTGACCAAGGATACCAATACCAATGTACTTTAATCCACTCTCTTCATGAATCATTCTTTATCAATGTCTCTATCAATACCAATCGTAATAGTTCAATATGTATTTTTCTCTTAGGTAAATTATCATTGACTTTTAATACCTGAATTGAGTCTCCTCTCGACAACAAAATGGCTACTGAAGAAAGTTCGTCTATTTGCTCTTCCCCGAGGCTTTTATGTACAACATGCGTTACGTCATGAATTTAGGGCGAAATTGCGGGGTAAAGGACGAGTTGGCCCGAGTTGGTGAGGATTGACTAAAGTAGAGGCTCCGTTCTGGAGGTTTGAGTGACTCCAGCGGCATCGTAGTACTGCACCCCAAGAAAGGGAGGGCGACACACGCAATTCTGGGGTGTTCATCAAGTCGACGGGGTGGTGGTGGCCACCTGTCGGAAGACGTCGGAAAATTTCGCATGCGTCCTCGTTACCTGCGCAATACAATCGCAGGCAAAACCTGCAATGAATACATGACATGTTTTTTTTTTCCTGGCTCGTAGTACTATTTGCGTATTCGACGACGCCAAACAACGCCACAGACACATAAACGTCAATGCGAAGATAAATTTCTAAAATGTCTTTGACGGCTGGGCACAGGCTTTGTCCAAGAAATTTGGATTCCTAAAGACGCCAAAACCATCTCCATGGGATGATCATGAGGTGAGCAATTTTTTTTCGAATTTTTTACGGTGAATTTAGCATGTGTGAATATGAAGGCATTTTTTGTGTTTACAATTTTTCTCGATTTGTCAAGGATTTTTTCGTAGTGGAGGGTGGGTAATTAGTCGAGATGGCAAGGGAATTTTCCGATGTTGACGAGTTTCCTGTGGATGGTGAGGACAGCATCGCAGGACTCAATGAAAAGCTTTTGGAATTATTAAAAAATCCTCCAAAATATGTGCAGACTTCGAGTTCAGTGGCAAATTCGGCGATTGATACTGAGGCAGATTGCCAGGTTGAGAATAATTATTATGAAAATGCAGGATTATTGCATTGCAAGTGTGCCATTGAGTGTAGCTTTGTCAGGAGAAGTCCTGTTCATCCGAGAAATTTATCGCAATCTCTACCGCCGATTGGAGTTTTTTGGGATATTGAAAATTGCTCGGTGAGTTGACGAGTTTTCATGATTGAAAAATTATTGATTGAAAAATTTTCAATATGATTAGGTCCTCAAAAGAAGATCTGCTGCCGCCGTAGCCCAAATTATAAGAGATAAATTTTTTCATGGTTATAAAGAAGCCGAATTCATCGTTGTTTGTGATGTAAATAAAGAAAATAAACAAATCATTCAGGAATTGAATGATGCACAGGTAAATTCAATAAAATTCCAACTAAATGCATTTTGAGTCAACTTCTTGTTGACTGTCTTTCTTTGTTTTAATGATTAAAGTGTCAATTATCAAATCACTTGTGAAAGAAAAATCACGTTTATGACTTTTAGGTAAATTTAATCCACGTAGCAGCTACGTGCAAGAATGCAGCTGATGAAAAATTGAAACAATCTATACGAAGATTCGCTGACATACACGGAAGCTCAGCTGCTATCATCCTTATTTCGAGTGACATAGATTTTGCTGCTGACCTAAGTGATCTCAGACATCGAAAAAAAATTCACGTTATTCTATTGCACAATGAAAATTCATCGGAGACACTCATACATTGCGCCAATGAACACTACAATTTTACGGAACTTATGGAATCACTGCCAATCAGAACACCCGCCAAGGTATTTGAGCGATTATTCTTCATTATTCCCCCCATTATTATCCATCAGATAAGATTGAAAATAAAATTGTAAGCAGGAAAACGAACAGGAAAAGCAGATCTTTTATCGTCTTTAATTATCTACGAGATATGCGGATAGCAATCGAGAACTTTTAATAACAAAATTATTGAGGCATTAATCTCTCCATGTTTTTACTTAGACAGTTGAACCCTACGATCTACTTATCAGTAACCTTCCGAAAGATAAAGGTCTAACATCTATAAGGAGACGCCTAAAACGCCTCTCCGAGAATTGTGGCGGTCGTGTGATAGGGATAAATTCAAATGCCGCTATATTACGCTTCAGCTCCCAGGATTCGGTTGACAGGTATAAATGAATATTCAAATATTTCCCGCATTTATGCTGCCGTTTGTCCCTTCCAATCTAATTCAATAAAAATCACCTCACTTGTGGATTCAACTGGCCACAGGGTGGGGGCAAAGTATATAAATATGGAGATGTTCTATCTTACCCATCAGCAATGTAACGACAATCACTAGCCGAATATCGTACACGGATTTAATTTTCGTTAACGTACTAGCATCGTTGAAATAATTTTACCGTTTTTAAGAACACATTGGTACATGTAATTTTCAATACAGTTATCGTTTTATTTATCTATTATTCTATTTATTTTGAGGATTGTTCGTGGTCGTATTATTTTTTCGCTGAATTCTTCGTATTAGATGAATTGGCAGATTGTTTATATGGGTGAGTTTAGTTTATGGACCGTGTGGTAAAAACGAAATAAATCAATGAAAAATCATATTTAAGATGAATCCTTGATTTTTTTTTTTGACTCCGAGGTGAATTGGAAAATTTTCCTGGAATGCAAGTCCATGCATATCCCATCACCAGATTTGCGATTACCTAATGAAAACTGATTAACAGTCAAAATATTAAATAGCGTTGCTTCATAATTTATTATTTATTTTCATACGCAGTGATTCCTTCCTATGATTGATCATTTTATTATTTTTTCCATCAATGCCCAAACGGTCGTTGACTCTATTGTCCTCACACGAGGCAAATTATCGTTGAGGAAGTTTCAAACCTCTTTGGAGGTCACTGACAATAACAAACTCTCTCTGATTTCATGTAGAGCTCAAAAGCGCATGGATGGTGCGCCAGTCTTTGATGCAAAAATTACTGTGAAACTTCTGAAGGAAAAAGGAACTCGAATAGCCCGAGGTAATAACAATAAATCGTTCATTAGGGGATTTGAGGTATTCAGTGGATTTGAATTGTTCGTGCATGTACAGATTTCTTATTTTCTCTCTTCTATTCTTTCACTGAGACTCTGTTTACAGTAAATATTCTAAGGCCCATTGTTTCGTTTGTAGAAGTCAGCTCGACCCTCGATTTGACGAGTGAATCTGTAGCTGTTACCGGCTCACCTATCCAGATGTATAGCGCAAATGCGGCTGTTGGTGTTAGGAGTTTACCCTGTACACCACATTATAATTCATCATCACCGATTGTTGGAGGATTTTCCGGATGGAATGGCATCCACTGTCCCTCAGTTAATCCTCATTCGGGGTAAATTCAATTATTTCTCATCAACTGCTACGATTTTTTTTTCTAATTGATCATTTATTGTTTCGAATGATGAAAATCCGAGAACGAGTTCTCGAGTCATGGGTTGATTTATAAAGTCCCCGGTGATTCGAACAATGACCCGGTTTGATCTTATCTGACGAAATAAAATATTTCAATGATCAATAGAGAATCGTAGACAATTTTTATTTAAAAATATTTTGTGCATTTTCCAGTGGATTCACTCACATTTTCATTGAATATTTTGAAAAATTATGAATTCTAGAGGAATGGTACCAGCCCCAGTTTACCTGAACCGTTCATACGCCAACAATTCTGACACAATGTACAATCGCCCCTTCACAGAGCCCCCACGTGGACATTCCCCCGTGGTGTGGCCAGTGGTAGGTCCCCAGTACGGTCGCTCTTGGGAGGATCCCTACAGAATGAACAGTCAAAAGTCCTTCAACAAACGTTCCCAACTCGGGACAGCCCGTGAGCCCAACCAACCCACCTTATCCAACACACCAGAAGGAATGAGATGTATTCGTGGTGCTCACAGTGGATTAAATCACACACAAGCTGAATGGAGCATGTTGAGGCCATCCTACTGCCCCCTTCCACCATCAAATGCCTTCAACGGCTCAAATTTTTGTCAAAATTCTTACAAACGTGGTAGCTCATCACCACTGTTCATGAATCAAGGGAGAGATCATTGCAATGGGCAGTGGAATGGACAGGGACAGCACATTCAACCCATGAGGAACACGAAGACACCATCACCATACGGCAATGGTGGAATGCTCCCCATGAGCCAACAGTCGAGTCGCACATCGCCCTATCAGCACAGTGAATCTGAAGAAGAGGTCGAGAGATTCTTCAATCCCATCAACAGCCGGAACAGTTGTCCTGTTGCTAATTCCACTTACACACCGATCGAACTTCAAGTTACAAATTTGGATCAGAGCTTGGAGCCCAAGGAAATGAAACGCATCTTGTCCTGTATTTTTATGAAGCACATTCATGTCATTCACGTTTCAGTCTTCATGCAGTCTGATGGCAATTTCGCAGCCAGTGTCAAGGTGCCATCCCTCCAAGACGCTCAGTACGCCATTTCGCAGCTGCACAGGTGTAAAGTTGGATACAAGAGAATCCTGATATCGTATGCACATGCTGGAGGTCCCAATCCTCAACTCGTCAGGTCACAGATTGTTATGCTCTTGCAGGAAGTCCCTGGTCACAAATTACCGCTTTTCAAATTCAGGGAGATGTATGAAAGTCGATTTATGATATCCATCAGCGTTTCGGAGCTGTATAAGATGAAGGACGTTTGTATTGTCACTGAGGATCCCAGTGGGCGAATGGTATCGTTGAATCCTGATCACAGGAATACACCATCTCCTTGCATTGGAAATATTACACAGGTAATTTATTTATTTATTCTTAAAACTCATTTATATTACATAATTACATTAAATAGCTGGAATTTGGAATTTTTTGATGATGACAATAATGTGCCGAGTCTGAGTTATTTCCATCGAGAGTTGAGTTATTTATTCCTTTCGAATGGCATAACTGTGATCATTGCTAGAAGCGAATTATTAATACCTGATAATAAAATTCAATCATTTCCCTCATGCATTCCATCAAAAATATGTTGAATCAAGAAATTTTTATGTGACTTATAACAGGATGGACCCCTGGAATTGCCATTCTGCACAATTCACATGCAAAAATCCGTATCAGACAAGGGCTGGGCCGAACAGGAAATGGCATCCCTGCCAAACGTCATGATTCCCCTAGAGTTCCTTGCAACACGAGTTGAACAATTACTCTCATCCCACAACGGAAGTCTACCACTCCCAAGCCTTCCTACGTGCTACGAGGGTGTGTTTCAGGAAGCTCTGAACGTCGATGAAAATGGTGTACCCCTTGAGCACTTGGTGTCCTGTGTCCCATCGGTTGAATTGAGACAGGGAATTGGAAGTGTAAAGTATCTCCTGTGGGTAGGAGACAAGTGTCCCGACGACAGCCACGAGGAGATCAATAAATGCGTGAGTCCACCCCTGGCTAATCAACTCGCATTATTTAGTAGAGAACTCGTCGACTTGCTTAAAACAGCTGCACACTGTCAATTACCATTCAATCGATTCATTCCTGCGTATCACCATCACTTCGGAAGGCAGTGCAGAGTGGCTGATTATGGATTTACCAAGTTGATTGATCTATTGGAGGCATTGCCCCATACAGTTCAGGTAATGGGAGAGGGTAACAAAAGAGTTGTCACCCTCTCACATCGTGCCCAAGTTCGTCGCTTTACATCAGATCTACTCCGAGTGCTCAAAGCTCAAGTGAGCAAACAAATAATGCTCTCTGAATTCCCCAGAGTTTATGCCCGGGTTATAGGTAAACCATGGGACATCGTGGATTACGGTGTGTGTGAAATTCACGATATTCTCCATGAGGTTTCTGAGAATACAGTGGTCGTCGCAACGTGCAACGAATCTGATAAACTCATTTCAATTCCCACACGTGAACAAACACCTGAAGAAATCGAACGAACGAAACAATTCGCTGTTGAAGTGGTGGAGCTACTTCGTCATGCACCTCAATGCAGCATGCAGTTCAACAAATTTGTCCCCTCGTATCATCATCACTTTGGCCACCAATGTCGAGTCTCTGATTACGGATTTACTAAACTGATTGAGCTCTTTGAGGCAATTCCCCACGTCGTCAATATCGAGGACGCTGTTAACGGCGAGAGGCGCATAAGTCTCACCGAGAAAGAAGGACTTCGAGTTTTGGGCGAGCAGATAAGCAAACTCGTCCTTAAAACTCGAGGCGGCCTCGCTGTTTCAAGTATTGCTCAGGTATTTCTACATCAATTCGGTTACATGCTGCGTCCAGAGTTCTTCGGTTGTAGCTCGATGCTACAACTGATGGGAAAACTCGACGATACTGTCAAAATAATTCAGGGATCGAACTCTCCACTGGTTGTTCTCGTGGATAAATCACACGCTCAGCTGGTGGGTCTCCAGTGTCGTCGTATCCTCATGGACCAGAGCCACCACAAGATGACGTTAAAAGACTTCAAGTTGCTCTACAGTGAAGTCTACAGCACTCCCTGTAATATAAATGAATTCAAACACGATCTGTCTGAGATTGTTAAATTCTCTGGTGAGGGAGATAAAGAATCTCTCCAACTGACTCCACTTCAGTGTTTAGCTTGTAATATTTACAAGATCCTTATGAGCCATGGGGGTAAACTGAGTCTCCAGAAATTAGAGAACACGTATTTGAACACTTTTGGAAAGGGTTTGAATCCTGCACAATATGGTTTTCCTACTTTGTCTGCTTTGCTTCAAGCATTACCATGCACAGTCACGATTAAAGAGACTCGCACTAAAAAGAAAAATATCTTCCTGAGTAAAAAATTGGCAACAGTAGGAATTCCATTGCCTTCCAACTTTCTATCTCCACACAGAGGTAATAATTCCAGCAATGAATCTCTAGAGAGTGATCAAAGAATTGATATCAATGAGACTGCGATTCCTGACAAATGGATGGGAAAGAATGCTGCAGTGTGGAATGATCGAAGAAATATCACCTCATGGAAGAAGGATCATCAGTGGGGGTTGTCTACTTCTGATAAATCTTTGAAGTGGCCGATCCTCGAAAGCAGTGGAGAGTCTTTCTTCAAGAGCTTGATAAACACTCCAACGTTGATAAAAGATCTACCGAAACCACCGAAGCCAGATACACCTCCTAATGGTAATGTTGATGGTGAGAGCACGTGGAAGTCGTCTGTCTGGTCGACACCACCTCATTTCAATCGGGATATTCATGGGAGGAGTATAGAGATTCCACCAATAACCCTTCCCACTTGGAATAATACTGATGTTGAAGATTCTGTATTAAACCTTCTGTCACCAGCAAAATATCTACTACCAGCTACTGCTAATCCACTGAACCCTAAGACTCCACCTTATTATTCAACTAAGCATCTTGTTATTGCTCCACATCCCTCTGAGTTACCACTGCCATCACTCACCCTAGCACCAAGACGTAGCCTACATTCCAATAATGACACATTAGAGTCGAGATTGTTAGGGAATTCCCTGGAAGTTCATAGTCCAACTAATTCGGAGAATTACAGTGTCTCGGAGAGTGAGTCTTCAGATGCACTTAATACAACTCCCAGCAAGAAGATGTTCGCTGGGAAACGTCGGCTTGCTGCACAGTTCAATCAACCGATGGATTGAGCTCGCGAGGATAATGTCGAGGTATGAATTTGTCATAAAAGATGCCAGGTGTTTTCTTTTATTATTCAAGGAATTTACGAAACGAGAAATGGAGAAGAGCAGAGATAAATTTTAGGAAATGTGAGGGAATCTGAGACATCTTTGTGTGGATGGAAAATAATGGAAGAGATAGTATGATTGATATCGTGAATTTTTTATTGATACTTTGCCTTCGTGAGATTCACTTGCTATGGAAAATAGTGCCTAACATTCTTCCCGACTGTGATATACAATATGTACGTAATGGGTTTTTCGTTTTTAATGAAACAGGGATTAGCTTCTTTTTAATTTTCGTTATTCTGATTATACTAGTATTGTTTGATGAGTCTCAGGAATAATTATGTGAAGTAATGAAATAGCAGATGGATATACCATGCAATGCAGCACATTATTTGATAGAGTGAAAGCAAAATATCGATATTTTATGTCGTTGGACTCGTAATTCCCGATTCTAACGAGCAAAGTGAGGTCAGAATCGCGTGATTACGGGCACCTAGAGATGAATTAATTTGCTGGAATTTGTCATGGTACTCCAGAATTCAATAACCACGAAGAGTTCAAATCCTTATCATAAGTATTCCATTTCCATTGTTTATAAATCGATCGTGTAGTCTCATGCACTGTTTCCTTCTTTTTAATTGTTGATTAATTTCGTCATATTTCCTAATGTCAAGAAACACAACGATAGAAAATCCTACGAATATGCATGAACTTTTCCTCAAATTCGAAAATAACAGGGAATAATTGGAATTGAATTCCAATTATTTATTGATATCGGGTATAGGTTGAGAAAAATTCTAAACGATTCTGTTGATTTATTTTATTGGAAATGAGACATAGAAATTAGTTTATTCAGGCGATAGCAATAGATCATTAATTATTCCACTGAATCTAGAATAATAATTGTATTTATGTAAGTTGTTTCCTGCTGTTCCCATACGTACCTGGAAGTGATCTCAAATAATTTTATGATACTCATAGAATTTACCATTCATAAATTAGATCATAGCTATAATTGATATCAAGGAGTAGAAGGGAAAAAATAAAAATCACCAATGAAATACGTTAAAAGCTCAAGAGTAAATGAATTAGTAATTGTTGCCTTCATTCTGGTCTTTGTCCTCAATTTCAAATAGTTCGTACATTGCTAATTGTATATTTATGAAAATATGTGCGAGGGCAGAGCATACCCTAATATCATATGGCTAATTGATTTTGTAACTAATTATTAATTATGAAGTCATATTTTTTTATATTTATTAATAGTTTTTTATACAGCTAGGAGCTTTTACATGGCGAAATCAGTGCGACCACGGGAATTAGTGAATTATATTGAAAAATATCACCATTTCTAGTATTTTAAGAATAATATTCAGCAATGATTTTTCGAAGTATTTTAAGATGATTTTACCGAATCAGTAATAAAATCTTTATCTCTGTAAAAAAAATGTAAAGGAGTTAGAAATTCCATAGACAGTAATCAGTGAACGTCATCATGATGCCCTAAAAAAAGAGGAATGATTAATTGAGAAAACTACGTTCAATCTAATCCAAAGGTGCGAATGGATTCCCCAGCGAAAATTTTATTCCAATAACGAGAAAATCGAAAAAAAAAATATGGAAAAAGTTCAGAAAAAATATGAATAAATAAAAGTAGAATCCCAGGAGCAGCTATGTGTAAATTCGTAATGAGTAATTTTGTCCCCATTGAGTAATTTAATAAAAAAAAATGAATGTCATGCAATCGATGTTTTTTTTCTGTTCATTTTTGCACCTGTCGTTATTTTTATATTTTCAAAAGTTTTCTCAGGTGTATTGACTGGAAGTTCGAAGGAATTTATGGGAGAACATTAAAGACCATTTTTTTCTCATATCATTCGATTCGTAAATCCTTGGACCACGTCTCAAATTTGAAGCAAATGGAATTTCACAATAAAAGTTGATGTAGAGAAAAGGATAAAAACAGATGATTAAACAATTGTGCCACAACAACAGTTTATTAATCCAATGATTTTGAGAATTCACTGCAGTGTGAGTGAAAGGATACCCCATTCGTTTGTTTTATCGTTTAAATATCTACAGGTTTAATATTATCACTCTACGTATGATACAATTAGTTATTCTCGGGTTCCTTCCTGTTTCCTTTCATTCCGGTACCGACTTCACCGTGCCTTCTCTCCCAGATCAGTCGATGCTTCTGTTTCATTAAAACATCGCGGACGTTCGGGTGAGGACCTAAATCACCATCTAAAAATTTCGACGAAAATTCATAATTTGTTCAATATAAAAAAAAAACAAGGAATTTACGATTTCACAATAGAGGGCAATCGACTCGTCAAAAAAATTCGCAAATAAATTGTGTCATGTGTCATAAAATGTAGACTGATAATTTACGTTGTGCAAACCACTCAGCAGCTGCTTTTTCATAAATATCGTACAAGTGATCGCAGGCATCCTTCCTGTCCTCAGGATTGTATGCACAACAGTCCTCATATCTTGTTCTTAGAATACTCAGAATCTCATCGTCAACCATCCTAATAAAATCATACAAGAGAACATCCTGATGATATTTTTCATTGACTATTGGAAAGTTCAAATAATTTATGGCATTCCGTCTTCCAAATCTCAATCACGCTATGCATTTATCATTTTCGACTTCGAGTCATACTATGAAATACTAAAAAAAGACAGAATAATTTTACATTTAATTAGGAATGATTGAAAAAAAATGCAAGGGGCAGGGCTGAAAGAATAAACTTCAAAGAAAAATCCCAGAAGATTCCTCTCGTGGTATTTATCATGTAGGTGATCATTAAGTTGGCCATTAATTGATCATTAAATAAGATGGAATCTTTTTAAAAATATTATACTTAAAATTAATGAATGAATAACAGGAAATTTGCTAACTTGTCTCTATCATATTGGCAGTTAGCTTCATAATGGCAGACTAAATCATCAGTGTAGCACTCGTCAATCGTTGGCACTCTCTTGAATTTTCTATGATACCACGGATAGTGCTGTTGATTAGGGACAACAATTTTTTCTGTCAACAATCAATTAAAAAAATCATAATAAACAAAACGAGTATAATAACCACATCGGCAAGTGCCTGTAGTCAATGAAAATAACCTATTAAATTGGACGATTAGATAATACCTCGAAACCAAACAACTGGTGCCTCAAGAGTTTCATGCACCGAGGCGAGAAACTTCTCCAATCCACCCCGGGGATCCATTGATTATCGCCAATTTATTAATCTTCGCAGGAAAAAGCCCGAGTTTTAAAAAACTGAATTTTTAGTAAGGACAAGAAAATGAAAATGGCAGTGAACAGGACTGATACAGATTCGATGTGGGGAATATTACTCACAATTGTTGGCATCATATCATAATAAAATCACATGAAACCAAAGAGGATTGACTAAAGTAGAGGCTCAGTTCTGGGGGTTTGAGTGACCCCAGCGGCATCGTAGTGCTGCACCCCAAGAGAGGGAGGGCGCCACATGCAATGCCGGGGTGTTTTTTTTTATTAATCAAGTTTTTATTGCAATGCTGGGGTGTCAAACGAGTCGACGGGGTGAATTTTATTTTCTGCGGTATGAATGCTTTTTGGTATTTAATTGTTTAACTGAAATTTAGCCGACTGTAGAACGAGCGGAACGGGGAAGCCACATCTTGCGGAATTTCAAATGGAAAAAATTATTCAATATATTGAAGATATACTACTAATCCTATCCTATTATCCTATTATAAAAAGGACAAACATCGAGACTAACGATATCTCGAAAGTTTGTCACGCTTATTCCTCATTGGTTCAGTCGTCTGAGGCGGCCAATTTGAATTTGGAGCTCATTTAAATTAATAATTTTTAATCGCGATTTTGATAATTAGAGCGCGCTGTAGCGCGCGTTCGTTTTCGTGTCACCAAAAGTCTCAATAAATTTCTTCGATGCCTCACGAGACGACACCATGTCCTCAAACAAAGGCTGAAGGTCAACAACAAAGCCCTCAAAGTTTATCACGGTAAATGAAAATCGTCACACACTTCCAATAATCCAAATGCCCCTCAACATTCTTTGTCTTATCACAAGCTCACTGCAAGATTCACTAAATACGTTCTTTCCCTCGGTTTTCTACACGTTTGTCGTCAACACCGGCGGTTTTGTTTGACGATCCGCGTATTATAAAGTCTATGCTCTTAAACCCGGCGATTTCCGTGGAATTTCACGCACTGAAAGTAGCCGGGCACCTCGCTCACCGAAAAGCGAGGGAACAATGGACTACGTCAGAAGATGGTGAAGCGTCGGAGTCCCCACGCATGCGCACAAGAGGCTACGGGCATTGCCATGCGCAGACACTCCAAGCGAATGCGCCTGCGCCTGTTAAGAACGACGCAGGACCGGCAACAAAGAATTTCATACGTGTTTGCCAAACCGCCAAAATTTCCGGATCCCGCCATTTTATTAGGCGGCAAATCGTGAGAAAAATCAGACTTTTTCCCGGTTTTTTGTGGGGGAGTGGATACGACGTAGCATTAATAACATCCTCGATTGATAACGACATTGTTTTTAGTGCAATATTGCTTCGTGGAAACCGAAAATCATCAGTGGACTGTGTTGATATCCGGGGAAAAAAATCGTGAGTGTGGGTCGGTGTCGTGTTGTGGAAATTTCAGGGTTTTTAGCAAGAGATCAGTGTGGTCCTGGTGGATATTTTTTGGGTTCGAATTTGTCAGTAGAGAGTGTTAATTTCGTGGAAAATAAAATGGTGAGGATGGGTTTGTGGCGTGCTGTGGAAATTTCAGTGTTTTTTTCAAGTGACAATGTTGAGGTTGGTGATCAGGGTGCTCTTGCTTGGTATTTTTTTGGATCCCGACAATATTGTTGAGGATGTCTACCCCTCAGGATCTGTAAGAAAAATCACGATGTGAGAATATTGTTGAGGATGTGTACCCCCTCAGGATGTGTTTTACAAGTGATGA